CTACTAATTGACCTAACAGAAAAGTTATTGAAGTCTATTTAAGTTACTGCTTGGCTCGATCCACCAACATCAACAGTTCTCAACTCTATTAACTCCTGAAGACCAGATTCATTAACCTGCGTTTCAATTGAGGACAACTCGCTCTAAATCTGATTAAGCGGATCGCGAAGGATGTTTATATCAGCTAATGGGCTGTGGCGCCCTCAAGCTGTGCAGCTGTTGCAGGGTGCATTCTTACCTTTCAAGCCAGGAGAGGAGGAGCGCAGATTGTCTTTTATGTTGTCCCAATCCAGAAGGGTGGGATCAGTTTATTGAAGAAACAAATTGGGTCCACACTTATAACAGGGTTTGTCTCTCTCGTCTACAGCGATGGAGATGCGATGCTCTGGCTCATTTCAATCTGAAACCTTTGTGTTAGACATTAAAAGTTCTGCGATCCAGGGGCGATCGCCGGTGGCTAACATTCACAAACCTATAGCCCGACACAGGTTGAGAGGCAGCTCCTCAAAATGATTCAATTAGAGATTAACAGTTTTAAACTTTCATCCAACCATCCACTCAGCATTCAACTACACAGAAATGTAAGCAATATTTTAACCAAAGTTTGAAAGAACCTTACGAGCAAAACCCAGCTCTCCAGGGAGAGAGGTATACCAGGGGCCCCCCCCCTCTCTCAGTTTGCTCCCTCTCTGCCAGTGTCTTTATGCTCAAAAACAGGACAGAAAAAGCTAAATACACCTCCTCCATACCCATATTTGTGGAAACTGGGCATGGTCTTTGATGTACAGGACTGGACATGACCATACATATTCTATGGCTATGGCATAAGACACACCTTCCCATGTTTGTGTAAAAAGGTCATGACCTCTAGTGTGCAGGACTGGAAAATATTATTCTCGGCTATGACATAACCACCTTTTTGGGGCCTCAGTCTATTTCTCCTTAAGTCAGGAGCCCCCCTCCCTGTGTACTGCTGTGAGGGAAGAGGGAAGAAACTGTCTCTCTTCTCTTATCAGTGACACCCATACACCATAATAGGCCTCAATCTCAATTAAGCAAACCACTTGTGTTTTGTTTATACTGTAAATATAGAAAATCATAAAATATGAAGCATTTTCATTGTGGGTTATACAAGAATATATGTGATTATATTAACTTTCGTTTTATATTCAACCTAATATGGAGACCTCAACACCGGGTAAACCAACATAGGAGCTATGACCCTGAGTGAAGGTCAGATGGACTGTAGGGTTGTGGTAGTCCACGTTCTCTTCTGGCTCCTTTGTAATGGGTTTCGGCGCAACAATCACATCATCGGTTGTCAAGATCTCCTCAGTTTTGTATGTTAACACATACTTGCCTTTAGGTGAAAGCCATTCCTAAAANGCTTTCTGCTAAATGCATTACAGTGTTACACTTCCCTGCTCAGAATGAAAATGCTAACATGCAGATGATTGGCAGTTTCACTATTCAACATGATCATCTTAGTTTTTTGTGTTTACTTGCTAACACTAAACACAATGTCAAAGGAATGCCATTGATTTTTCTTTGTCTTTCAACATACACGCAAGTTGTGGATTAAATAAATAAGATTTTGACCTGGATGAAAAGTCAGGGGATCATTAGGGATTACCTTTAGTCCACCATGAATATTTGAACCAAATATCAAAGCACTGGCAGATGCTGAGATATTTTAGTGGTTTACTGACCAACAGACAACATTGCTAAAAAATATCAACTCAATTGATCCAATGTATTAATTATGAATATATAATTGTGATTAATTTTAACATTAGCTGTACGTTTACTACATGTTTCAGTGAAAATGACTTTATCACGCCTAATGTATCTCCATGCTTCTGATTTTTTAGGAATGGCTTTCACCTAAAGGCAAGTATGTGTTAACATACAAAACTGAGGAGATCNTTGATCTGGATGAAAAGTCAGGGGATCATTAGGGATTATCTTTAGTCCACCATGAATATGTGAACCAGTTGGTCAGTAAACCACTAAAATATCTGATATTTGGTTCACATATTCATGGTGGACTAAAGATAATCCCTAATGATCCCCTGACTTTTCATCCAGATCAACATGGGTGTATATTGAAAGACGAAGAAAATCAAAGGCATTCATTTGACATTGTGTTTAGTGTTAGCAAGTAAACACAAAAAACTAAGATGATCACGGTGAATAGTGAAACTGCTAATCATCGGCATGTTAGCATTTTCATTCTGAGCAGAGAAGTGTAACACTGTAATGCATTTAGCAGAAAGCACTGCAGTGTCTAAGTACAGCCTCACAGAGACACTAACTTCCCTATGGTGTTTTTAAAGATAAAATACCTTACAGATTATTACACAAACTCTTTTAGTAAACCGAATGCTTGCGGGCATTCTCTGTGACTTTTTCCGTGTAAATGTCCTGAACTAACACAGCAGTTGAGTAAAAAGGAAATTGCAAAATGTATCATTTATGTTTTGTTATTTCCTTAGTAATTTGCATCATTTTGTTTCCAAGTATTTCTTACCATTGTATTGCAAGGTATTTCCACTGTGGTAAAGTTGAAATTGAATTAAATGTCAAGTTAACAACAGACCTCTGGATTACATGTCTTACCTAAAGTAGAGACTGTCCTTAAAACTTTCCTTAAATAAGACACTAATACAAGAATATGGACATTGCATTAGCACCTCACCTGGAGATTGCCTCCGTGTTGTTGAAATAAAGGTTGAAAGAAAGGCGCTGGGGATGGTGTGTGCGACAATGTCTTTATCTTCATTCTGTCACACAAATCCAATAAGATTAGATTGAGTATATTCCATCTAATTGCAACCACTATGCAGAGCACATTGAGGCAATTATGATGGTCTTGAACTTTCCTTTTACCAACATTTGAAAGTGAAGAGGCATTACCTTGCAGTGGGACTGTAGAGTAAAAACAGCATGACTCCAACAGCCACACACAGCGGGACCAGAGATTTGATCAAAATGACTAATGTGTTATCTTGTTCTGAGAAAGTGTTATGAAATAATACAGAATTAGTAAGTCATACTACAGAGATGACTAAGTCTATAAGGGGGCTGGTGAATATTTTGCATTATTCTACAAAGCTATTGATACGGATCTTTGAGACTCAGACTCAAGTTATTCATACAATATACACATAGCGCAATACAGCTAAGAGCAGACTTAACATGTACAATATATCTGAATATCAGTGACAGTCAGTGCTGCAAAACCTTTGTGATACTGAAAGAGTGTCATGTCACCTTCTTCTGCTTCAGTTTTCCAGCATGTCGATGGACTCCATTTACTCCAAATTCCATCATATTCATCATAATTAGTTTGAGATCTCACTTTAANTTTTTGGTGTGAACGCAACTAAATCGTAGTTCTCAGGAACCTTTGTGGGAAAAGTACTTGGTGTGAACGCGCCTATTGTTGTATGACTTGGGTTGAGGTTAGCCTAACCCTAATTTATTATAGTTCAAGTTTTCTTACAGACAAAGGGACCCTAACCATTGGCTCCTCAGGGCACATTTGTATAGTTTCAGATTGAACCATGTCGAAAGAAAGCACAACTGATATTGCGATGATATTTCTGCAATATAACAATAAACCTTTCGTCAGACAGGATCCTGTTTGGGTCAAGATCATCCTTTATGCATTTCCGTTAATACATAACATTTTTTGTGGGTTTTCCTCAAGAATACGAGTTACTGGTGTCTACCTTTCAGATAGGCTTCTCTTTCAGTAGTTATGGAACCAGGATAAAAACTGTTGCATGACGCGTGGATTTGCATCACATGGATTAGGGTTATACAGATTGTAAAGAACTCAATGGTGCTCTAGGAGGAGATTCAGGTGGGGGGGGGGGTTACCTTGGTTGTGATTGGCTAATGGTTACTCAAGTCAAAACATCGTTATGACATCATAAAGTGGCCAAAATCTGATCAGCTCATTTTCAGACAGGTTTTTATAGAAATGGATCAAAAAGAGAGAGAATCTTTGTTGCTGAAACTTTCAGAGTCTCTTTCCACAGAGGGGACACATGTTGATGTAGAAGAGACATGAAGAAGAGGGGACACATGTTGATGTAGAAGAGACATGAAGAAGAGGGGACACATGTTGATGTAGAAGAGACATGAAGAAGAGGGGACACATGGTGATGTAGAAGAGACATGAAGAAGAGGGGACACATGTTGATGTAGAAGNATAGAGTGGCGAAGTCCCTCCACTTCCGGTGGACCTCCATGGGACCTTATATCGGAAAAATAATGTATTGAAGTCAATGGGGAGAGAAAGATTATCTTTAAAAGATAATCTTTCTCTCCCCATTGACTTCAATACATTATTTTTCCGATATAAGGTCCCATGGAGGTCCACCGGAAGTGGAGGGACTTCGCCACTCTATTCACACCAAAAAGCCCCGGGAACTAAATTAGTTCATGAGAACCTTTTTACCCCCTTTTCAGTCCCTGCTAGAGAGCAGGGACTTCCGTGGGAGAAAAAGGTTCCTATGTCTGATTGGCTGGGCAGAATACAAACCACGCCCCGTCAAACTCCCAAAAACTTTTGTGAAGCCGCCATTTTATTATTCTCGCATTGCATTATTAGCATTAGCATTAGCCCAGCGCAGAAACGCAGAGAGACTAACTGATGGCAACATAAAATAAAACATGGGAGCGGTGGAGATGAGGAGGTGTCTGCGTTCTGGCGATTTACTCTGAAGGCTTCAGTAGAAGCTGCTGGGACTCAGCAGTATACCCCGTAAAGTTGTTTGCGGCCTGACAGTAAACCCAAAGCAGAAGAAGAAGAAGAAGAAGTGACGTCAGCGGCTTCACATTTGCCTAATCCACCCCCAGGGACTTATTCCGGTGTGAACGCGATCTGTACTTAGTTCATCAGAACTAAAGAGTTCTGATGAACTAAAGTNCAACACAATCTACCTGCATTGCATTACTCTAAACGTGTAATAACGTGCTTTAACCAGTAGGTGGTTTGGGTTAAAAAGCTGTCAAGTTTACAGTGTTAACAAAATAAAATATACTGTTTCTGGTTTAGTTTACGACGGATATATTTAGTTATTGTTTTGATATTTGTACAAAAACGATTGGAAAAAACCCACAGCAACACAGAAAAGATGGTCTTAACATGACCCAGCGGTCTAGTAGTTAATAAAAAACAATAATATCAAAACAAAATATTACTTCTAACTTTATTGTGAAATTCAAACTGAACGGTAAAAGAATAGTTTCCGGTCTATTCTGAGCCCGATCTCTGTAGATAAATAAAAATAAAGAACTACGAAAGATGTGTAATATATTTAATGCAGCCGAACTATTTATTACAATGCAGCATGTGATGACTTTCAAAGAGTAAAGCAAGCACTGCTGAATAAAGTATGATTTTATCTTTTACGAAACGTTTTTTTTCATATGGAATGTAGTTGGAGGTCAACCAATCATATAGCTTGAAAACTAATCACGGGATTTGTCAAACAGAGCATAAGGTGTAGTCCTAAACGATAGCTGGGGATTCTGGGTAGTGTAGTGTCTTCTGCCATCCTTTACTCCGAAAAAATATTTGTTTCTCCGAATCGAAGGGGAAAAATACAAAAGCATTGCACACAATTTAATTGTAATAATAACAAGGATAATCTGGTGTTTTTTAGTCGATGAGTAGTGCAGATATCACTGTAAAATCAATCGACAGTAAGGGGAATACTTACTTCCGGGTGTACAATTCTCCGTTATCCAATGGGAATGGACGCTCACATTGCCTTTAAGGGCAGCCGACACAAACGAATGCCGTGCTTCCATGCGCGTCAAATCCCGCCGCAGATGGGAATACATTGCAATCAGTTGAAAGCTATTTGCGTCCCTTTATGAAGCTGAAGGAGCCTCGGAGCGTCATAACTGCACCCCACGGGACCCTGACCAAACGTCGCTCCTGGACGATTATGGAGTGAGAGTGTGTTAGTCAGGGAACTCACCAAGTGTCAAAAAACACAACCCTCTCTCTTTTCCTCCATACCCAAATCCCTAAAAACGGGGCTGCAACGGATCTGATACAGACTGATCCAGATTTGAAATATCTCTGACGTCAGAAACAAGGAGCTCCGCCTATATGGGCAACTCTCCACCTATCAGGGGAATGAGAGGTTGGTGGCATGGTAACAGCATGGTAACAGCATGGTAACATGACGCTCGTGCCTCGCCCCCCTCCTTTGCAGGGGGGCGTGGTCAGCTGCAGCTAATTTACCACAGAATCAGCCCTTGCAAAAACAGGGCTGGAATACAGCAAATGAGGCATGGCTAAAATGCATGATCTGTTTGGTATTTTGAAAAAAAACTTCACAGACATGTTTTATATAGGTATGGCCCTACAATATATTATTCAAATATAGCATGATAGGTCCACTTTAACTTTCACAGCATATGTATAAGTCAGGAATGTCTCACAATATTCAAATAAGTACTCTGTACTCAGTTTAACCAAATAAAAAGGAAGGTTTTAGGTAAATTTTTTGACTATGGTAAACAATTTAAATTCAGTTGAAATGTAATAAAATAATGTAAAAGTAAACAGTGGAATGGCCCCAGGCTATATATTATTATAATGTATAGGATTATTAGGCCTATCACTGATGTATTAACATACACAGAGGTGTATGGTGGTAGTGGGATGAGGTTGAGCGAATGTTAAGTACTTAACATGCAGTGTAATTCCTTAATCATATATCATGTGGAACGTAATTTTTTTTACAGTTGCATTTACTGATACACATTATTACAAACCATCACAGATTACAAAGATTTGTTTTCCTTTTTGACCTTTATGTAAATATAATTGTACATTGTGGTATTTCAGCTGTAAATTAATGAAAGAAGAAGCAATTGAGCTTATTATTTGCATGGGAATTCCTCAAACTACTGCTTAGAATACATCACTGTAAGCATTTTCAAGTTTTTCTAACAGTTATTGTATGCCTTTTTTATTCTATGTTATCTAATTATTTGAGATAGAATACTATTGCACAACCTCACATTTTTTATTTGACCAACATTTTTATTTCAACACAGAGACAAGAAATTAGCATGTGTGAAACCCAGAGTGTTAATATAAATGATGTACATGGAATGAATGAAAATGACTACTTGAGTTTAGGTCTCTGGGCTGAGTGTGCAGATGCTGCAGGTGATCACACAGATCTTGCATTTATCACTATCTTTATATAGGAAGAACTGGCTCCTTTTTCTTTTATGTTTCTTGTACATGTGTAAAATATACCCTTATTTCAATGTGTCTCTTTTAGATAAAAAAAACCCCATGAACTCAACAATCAAAAATTAAATTTAGCAGACTTTTTGACTCATCTTTCCTAATGTTTTTCTGTCTGTGTCTTCAGCAGTCACAATATCGACAATGTGGCATTGTGTAAAAAATCGAATGAAGTTGGTATACAAAGAACTCTTCTTTCTGCAAACAGCATGGTTTGTTTAGTGGCTGTTTTAAACAATGATCTTGTGAAAGACTTTTAAACTTAGTTACATTTTCAAGAGAACACAAATGCAAGAAACTAAAACTGAGCTGCTTTTAATGAAAGCAGAACCTTTCAATGGGTCTGTTTTTAAAGTAAACCAGTATAAAACTCAAATGACTGTTATTTCAGAACAGAGGTGATAAATCAAACAGATGTTCGTATTTTTGAAGATGTTACAATGCAGGTACAGAATGATCAAAGTTACACCTTACAGTACTTACAAAATAAATGTTGGAGTGAACTGTAGTAAACAAAGGGGAAAAAAAAAAAAAAAAAATCAGGGAAGAGTTAAACTCTCATAATGTGTTTCAGAAAAAAACCCTTCTATTGTGCCCCATGTTTTCACAAATTATCTTGGTGACTCATGTGTGGGCCGTGGGCCCTGTACACTGCGAGCATTGTCCGGATTTAGGAAAGAATTTCAGTTAATAATTGTGACATTTTGCAAATATATCACAAGGGTCTTCTCTCTTTTTACGACATCTACATTTTTATTGGCTATATGCAAAGCTATTGTGAACTACTCTGGGTTAGAAACTGTTGAAATATGTTCAGTTAGTTCCTTGTGTCGGATAAAACGTGCGTTATTCAATCAAATATGCAAATAACAGCCATCTGCCTTTTTTTTCTTCCAATAATGGTGAGCTGCAAAAGGAACTCTGATAGAATTTAAATAACCATTTTATCTAGGTGTGGTGTCCTTTGGGCGATCGTATCACAAGTTGCTGTTTTGCACAGGCCAGGGAGACTTCCCTTATTGTGCGGGAGACATTAATCATATACACACAGTCATCTTTACACAAACAGAAACACACACACACACCCACACCCACACACACACACACACACACACACACACACACACACACACACACACACACACACACACACACACACATCCCATCTAATCCTCTAATTTTTCTCCCCCCTACAGTCTAAGCTGCCTGTTTTCATTGTAGTCATGGGCCGTGAGTCATCGGGTGCCTGAGCCAAGCTATTTACGCTGGTTCACACTGGCTGACACACCTATAACTGGAAACACCCATTATCACACAACCTCGTATTCAAGAAGAGTGAACTGCCACAAAGTGGTGACAGCCAGAGGGGGATTCAGTTTGTCAAAATGTGCACAGCATATACAAAATATTCAGGACATCTCCCTTGTAGGTGTTTAGTTTAATCCCTATTGCACAATCAACATGTTTGCTCACTCAAAGCTCATTCTCTTATCCTTATCTGCTTTATCTTGATCTTCAGCTCCTGGTGTGGATTGATTGAATATTTAACACAAGTGAATCAATAAGTAATCAAGGCATTTATCTGGATTCATCAGAAAGAGCTCTTAGGTAACAGTAAAAGGGAATGACTAAGGTCATTCTGAGCAGTAAAGAACACACAGCATTGCCAGTGTTTACTGAGGGGTTGTTAAAGAAAGTTGTTGAGCACCATACAGTTTGAACAGGTCTCCTGCTGTTTACTTGTGCCCACATTATACGAGTTGTCTGTCTGGAAGCACCAATTGAAGTAGTTCTTCAAAGGCTCCATCAGCCACACCTTTTTGGCAAAAGGTCAAACGTGAATGAAGCTAAAATAACAAGAACAAAAGCAGGAGGAGCATACTTATCATATTCTTCCTAAACATCTTGACAATATACAGTTGAGTCAATAATAAATATGTCGTTATTCTGCTCATTTTCAGAGTAAGTAGCATTGTAATGTTTTCATTTTATTTAGGAGCATTTTCTACTAAACACCCTTGCAGTCCACAGACGTAAGCAATACCACACTTCATAGAGTTCTTTAGGATCTCTGCTTATCTTGCACATAGTTGGGTTTACTTCTTCACTTTTGTCACAGCATGCACCGATGACAGACACACTCATGCAGGCAAACAAACACTAGGGCTTCTTATTTTTGTGGGAGAACGGCACCCTGTTCTTGAGAGGAAACAAAATCAGCGCTGTCTGGCTCATGGTGGTGTAATGTGGTAATAATAAAGTATGCGGTGAGTGCACATGTACAAGCGTGTGTCTGTGTGCCGCTCCCTGTTCGATCCCTGCAAATCCACGCAGTAACTTACTGTGTGTTTGCTCTACTTGTTACATGTTTGCTATTTCCCCTCACCAAGGACAAGTGTGACATGAGTACGGTACAAGGAGTGGGTGTTTCAAGGACAATAAGGGTTGGTGAGAGTGGTGAAAAGCACACATGGCATCCCATTTGCTAAACTAGGTGGACACTCATGTCCTAAATCGACGATTGCCAGGGGGTACTTAAAGGTGGGGTAGGTAAGTTTGAGAAACCGGCTCGAGATACACTTTTTGTTACATTCCATGGAATGCTCTTAATATCCCGATAGCAATAAATATCTAAAGTGATTTGACAAAAAATCCATACAATTCCATCATATGTGGAAGCCGTAGTACTGTAAAAAGCACGACCAATCCTTTTAGCCGGCCCAGCTAAAATAACTGGATGGCCTACCTGCCTGTCAGCCTTCCATCTGTGCACAAACTTATCTCATTGGTCATGTGCACGTTTGTGTGTGTTGGAGGAGGGGCTCTGTAAGGAAGTGGCAGGTTTTCTCCGGTTTTGTATTTTCTAATTCTAACACACACACCTTAACATCACCCATTGCGATTTTTGAAGTGTGCAAAAACTAGTAAGCAAGCGTAGAGGTCAAAACGCACACACAATCACATGAAGTATACATTTTTGAAATTGCCAAATAGATAAACTGTAAAAATCGTTAAGATAAAAATATTGGATACTTCTTAGATGCAAATATAGCAAAATAGGCCTCACTTTTGCTACTATTACAATATATCCTATAACTGTGTCTTAATTACAACTTTAGTATTCCTTGTAATTCTGGCAGATATTCAACAGCTGGTGACTCTTCTGTTGAAAAAGGCTGTAGCCTATATTCAGAAAAACACACTTTGACACGAGCGTTCCCTCTTCTTTGGTTAAAGCATCTTTAGATCCAGAGAAACACATTTTTGGTTGCTTCAGCTTGCTCACCATTAGCCTTTCTCTTCTCTCACTTGTTGCATTGTCGAGTATTAGAGTAAGCATTGTGTTAGCATGAACGCGCTTCAGGTGTTTCTTCAGGTGTTTCTTCAGGTGTTTCTTCAGGTGTTTCTTCAGGTTACTTGTGCTATTTTGCGCCGTTAAGTACTCCCTTGCTTTTTTAGACATCGTTAGCGCTTGACAGAGATGGCAAAACAAAAGTAAACACATCCTTTACTCAAGTAGAAGTACAGATACTGGTGTTTAAAAATACTCTGGTAGAAGTACTGACTAAACTTCAGTACTCAAGTACAAGTAAAGAAGTATGGGCTTTGAAATGTACTTAAGTAAAAAGTACCCATAACTACTATCTGTTTTAAAGAGTAACTGACCTCACTTTATATTAATAGAACAATAATGTCATTGTTAGCTAATGAATGTTTCGATGCTGACCAACGGCAAAATTACAAAGTTCTCAGTGGTCGCTCTTGTTTAGAGAACACCAGGAAATGATGGATACACGGATCGTGTTCAATACACGGATCGTGTTCAAATCAATAGGCACGCAATGACTCTAAATAATAATGATCACGCCACCAAACACAGATTTAACTAAAGTAACAAACCTTTTGAAATTGTAAGAAGTAAAAGTACAGGTATTTGTGTTAAAAATGTAAGAAGTAAAAGTACAGGTATTTGTGTTCAAAATGTAAGAAGTAAAAGTAAACAGTTGTCAGAAAAATAAGTAGTGGAGTAAAGTACTGATACCAGAAAAATGTACTTAAGTACAGTAACAAAGTATTTGTACTCCACTACTTCCCTCCTCTGGCGCTTGACTATTGTATTCTTGTCCTGAAAGTAATGGGAGTGTACCCATTTAAAAGACTCTAACAAAAGAGAGTTGGGTCTTTATTCACACAACGACTGAGATTACTATTATAACTGCAATTTTTTGGTATATGGGAACATGATAGACTTGAATTTATTTTATTCCAATACAGAAATAAAGTTATTAAACGTAACTTATACAGCTATTTCACTCAGACTTGTTTTGCGGTGGGCATTGTTAAAACATAAAAATATCTTGTAAATAAACTCTTTGCATTTTGTATCTACGTAGAAGACTGACTCTTCTGTCATTTTTGTTAATGATAACGTTGTGTTCAGTAAATGGTGTAATTACATGTTTATGTCATTATCCATAATATAATAGCCTTCCCACATTGCGGTGTGTACCTCTACTTCATCTTAACTCTAAAATGAGAAACAGGAATTGAATAAATATCATTTAAAACGGTTTTATTTTGTTTCAATATATTATAGAATGACAAGAAGTTAAGAGAAAGGATATAGTCTTTGATTTGACTGCTGCGCTCATCGTTGTGTAAGCATTTATGCAAGGCTGCCTCTGGGTGTAAATTATAGTGAGGTGCGTCACATTAGCTTGAAACTGTTCAAATGTATCTTTCTGTTTTCTTTTTTTTAATGATTGGCTGCAAAGGTAAAGCACAACATATCCAATGCCATGTATATAGTATATAATATGGCTCAAACTATGTGTTATCTACACAACTAGTTGCTTAAGTTGATATTATAAACTTTTAATAAAATCATTTTCAATAGCACTGACTGATGGTAAAAGGTTGTTGATGGATGTTATAACTTGTAAATGTCTTTCTTTCTTTTTTAAAGCAAAAGTTACTTTTTCTGTTACATGTCATCAGAGTCCATTACGAAGCAGTGGGTGGTCCCCTGGCTGCCGAGAACCACTCCCTTGCACCGGTCCCCTCCCCTGCATTCCCCTCCTTCTCCTCACCAGGAGCCCTACCCAGCTCACTCTGACCACTTTGCTCAGCACAGAAGAGCAGCCACACAGAAAAAAAAGTTCAAATCAACTCAGAGCAGAGGAGGGAGGAGAGACGGGAGAGAAAACGCCCTGGAAACTTTGGTTGAGAAATAGGAAAAGAGTGACTGAATCCTAACAGACTGCAGAGCTGTGACTGGAAGAAGTGCTTTACTTGTGAAAAGGGGATAGGACACGTTTTCAAGGATGCTCAAGTTGGTGTGAGGCTTCTTGGGCGCAAAGACTGCGCACAGGTAAATATGCACTTTTTCTTTAACTCAGATTTAAGTTTTTCTTAAGAGTGTTTGTGAACTTTGTTGCTGGCTATGCTCTGTTTCCAATGTAATCTTGAAGAAAATGACCTAAAATGACTTGGTATAAGTTTAAGAAACTAAGTTTCAAAATCCAACATTCCTGTTATTTCTCAATAGGGACTTGTAGTCAGTCTGTGTATCCATGCTAAGGTCACAGTGACTTAGTTCTATGCTATTATGTGTGTTTATCTTTTGAGGTGTACTATCAATTTTCCTAAAGGGAGGTTCCCCTAAAGGAAAGTTTTGTGAAGAAAAAACTTGTATTATTGCTTTTTTGTAATGGTGCAAACTCTCAATGTTTTTTGTGAATATCATCATACGTTTTAAATACTGGTTTAAAACAGTGAAAGACAGGAGAAGTGGGTGTGTACCTTGGACCACCACATGAATGCAGAGGGCTAGTCTGGATATGCGCACTTTCCTTATCTTTTAACTGCACACAAAGGTTGTTATCCAAGGTGCATATGAGGGCTGAACCCATTGTTTTTGGTAGAATGTAGGGTATCTTCATAGGATTTTAGTAAAGAAAAACGAGTTACCAAAAGTCACTCTTCTGGTGTAGTTTTTGGAATATTGTGGAGCATGTCCTTTGAATACACATAATCTCTAGTGTTTGGGGTAGTACATTTTTTATTCAGCAATAGAATCTTTCACAAACTAAATGAAACATTGTGTAAAAAGCAGTATAAAGTTAAAGAGTGGCGTTATTTGCGCTTACGTTATCGTTCAGGTGTTTGCTTTATCTGTCCAACGCCCTTTTCTGAGGCTGTGCTGTTTAAAATGTAGGTAATTCTTCAAGCCTGCAGCAACAAGCTTGGGTGTGGATTCCTCTCTTTCACCTCCCTTCACCCCCACCTTTTTTCCCCTCCCTCCCTCCCTCCCTCCCTCCCTTCTTGCTTTGCTGTCTCTTCACAGAGGCACACCCTTTATAAGCAAAAAAAAAAGAGGAAAAAAACCGTGTACATCCTGCAGACGGTTGTCGCAGTTGGTCCCTTTAAACACATTCAAGGTCCTTCATAGTGTATCCAGGGGGCCCCAGCTAAGTTTAAAGTACTGACCATAACTTTTTCTGCCTATGCACTGTGTCGTCATGTGCTGTATTTTTTTTTATCAGTTTAATGGAACAATGAAAACATAGTCATATAAGGGCATTTTCAATACTTTTGTGGAATGTGTCAGAAGGTTCTTTATACGATCAGTTTTTGGCATACCTCTTTTCCAGCAAGTGTTATGTAAGAGAAAGTTGGAAACTGTAACTGCTGCTTTGTACTGAGGCATGTTTGTTTATTATGACTACCATATAACAAATGTTTGAACAGAGAGAGATTTCTCTGTCTTTATTTTACCTTGGCTCTCTTAACCTGGGCACCCGGCCAGGGTGTGGAAGGGAGGAAGACGGGGGGAGAGAGGAGAAGGAGAGAGGAAGAGGGGGAAGAGAGTGAGTAAATGAAGGGGGATGGGCGGGGTGGTGTGCGAGGAGGGGAGTAATGGAATGTAGTGGTTTGGAAAGACAAGCTAATTGAAACCAGGTTTGAGGCAAAGAGGGGGAGTTTAGACTTCGCACTTGTGGCGTAAGAAAGACACGCATTTAATCTGCCCAAAAAGTTCTGCCTAATTTATAAACAACATCTTACACTCAAACTATAATCAGCACATACAGCCTGGGTCCTTTGTTTCGCATTATGTATTTCTTCGAGTTGGGAATAAGGTTTAGCAAAAAGCAGACCATATGTAATCCTTTGTTTAACCTTGCCTGAAAGTCACATTTCTTGGTGTAGAGTTGTCTGTCCTCCATTTCCCTGTCCTGCCACACCCAAAAAAAATGTCAGTGTTAATAAGAGCTGTTTTATGCGCTGCTCTGAACAGCCTTTTCTACAATTCACACTTAACTTATGTCGAGCGCCTAACGGTTATAAATATTCTTAATTTCTCAAATAGCACCTGTCAAAGTGATTGATTGTGACAGCCTGCTTGAAGAGACAAATGGTGCCCCAGGGGTAAAGGTTTTTGTGTAATTTAAGCCCTAAATTATATTTTAGCATTTCAAAAAGTCCTGTTTTACTTGGTATACTTTAGGTGTAAAGTTGTGCTGCAAGAAAAAAAGGAATGGACTTTCACAAACATAACAAAATAGACATAAAGCGCTGAACTGTTTCCTGACTGCCTGCAACTGGAATGCCTGTCGGTTAAGAGGGCCTCATCTTGGCCTGGAGCGCATACTGTTTATATAAATACTTGCACTGTCTATGAATGCAGCGATACAAAGGCTACATTATGTTGTTACCTCGTGCACTGTAAGAATATAGGAATTCAAAAAACCTTGCTGTGAACATCTTGAAGATGCTTCATTGCTCAGGTATTATAGCCAACATTGGCTGTGCACAGTGTCAGTCAAGGGGGTTTTGTTGCACTTGCCACTCATGTGACAAACAGCTTCTTTACCATCCCGAAGAAAAGGACATACCTCATGACTGTTTGGAGTCTTAATTTGATAATGTAAATATATTTTTCACAGAAGTACTATAAATTCTTGCACTTTTGAACGGCAGTACAAGCGCGAGGAGATGTGTTCCTCAGGCGTGCCAGTGTGAAACGGAAAGAAACTGGTCTCTAGCACACTTCCTCTGCCACTTCCTCATTTTTTTGTTGAGTTGGTGTTTGAAAGTAGGGACAACAAGGAGAGGCAAAAAAGGGAGGTAGGTATTGTGAATAAGATACAAAAAGGGAGGGTGATTGGAAACAAACTGTAGCTTTTGTTCACACTTGGTATTTAATTAGAAGCTTGGCTTTCGGATATCCTGCAGTTCCACTAGACTCCCTGAAGTCCCACCCAGGGGATTGGTTGAATAAAACAATAGCACATTTGCAACTGTTCTAGTGAGGGAGCTGCAAATAAACAGCTAACTGAAGTGTGTGATTTGAGAAAGACTTTCTAGGCAATCCACCAAGCACTCCCTTCTCATCCACCCGATGCAGGTCTGGAATGTTTCAGCATGTCCTCAGTTTAATCTGTGGAGCACCTATCATTAGTTTTGCTCACTTTGTTGTTGTGAAATAGTGATTTGAGAAGTATGAGTCATCCCAAGTCCCACATTATACCTCTGTGAGTCACACCCATACACATGCATGCAATTCAGACTTTTTGTTGTAGCTGTTTGGTGGGGCTTCTGCAATCATGGGATTTAGAAAGGGTGTGAACCATTTTTGTGATAAGCTGATAACTTTCGTCACTGCTCTGGCAGACGTCTGCTTTTCGAGTCCATCCAAAAACATTCCATCTTACATGAAGGTTGCCTTGCTGCACGGTCAACCTGACCTTCACTAATTGTCTAACTTACACCCTAGTCCTTACAAACACTGTTATATAGCCTTGCACAAGGAATGACACGCAGCGTCTGTAACAACAACTCCATTTAGAGGCAGACAAGATTGGGGCAACAAGGCATGGAATGTAAATGAATAAAATTCCTACAGCTTTGTTTAAATGTAGGCCTATCTGCTTATCAACTTTGCACTTCTCTGGTCAAGTTGAAATGTTACAAATTAATACATTTACTTATACTGTGCTTATGAATCAAGCTCCTCACAGGAAGTCTTATGTCTATATATACATTCTGCTGCTAGGTTGCCATGTAGTCCTCCTCTTAACCTTCTTGCCTCCTGCTCCATGAATGGGCTTGTATTTGTTCTTGTTCAAACAGCAGCTGTGGAAGAAAATTCGGTAGAAGTTGGGCAGTTGTATGGCACGGAGTATGTAAGGTTGCTATGGATATCTGCTAACCTGTTTAAACGTCACTCTCCTCTTTATCTCTCGGGTTTTACTAGATATTTCACCTGTCCTGGATCACTAGTCATTTCAGAACTACAGCTAAATCCAAAATGTTTTGTTTCATTTTTGCGAAAAAAGGTGCTGTTGTCTTCTTTTGTATAGCTCAAGATTAAATACAATGTCTCAGTGGGATGTAGAGGCTTGTAGTGGTTTATGATGCATTCGAGGTTTCCCAAAAACTCCCCTGTAAACATATTAGATTATACCTCCTTGGATGTCTTAGGGCGTGATAGAAAACAAATATCCGTCATTAATCTTTTTCTTACAGTCTCATACTGTACGGTATAAAATGCTTCTTTTACTTTTAAGATATAGTAGCCTCTCAACGCAACCCTCGGTTCACATTTTGATCTTGTTAAAGCAAAAATAAGAGCATTTAAAGTTTTCTTCAGTTTTCCATTTTGTGCAAAACTCCTGCCAAAGTCACAATGGTTTAATCAGCAGTAGGCCAAGTTGGCGTCACTGGGTGTGCTTTGGTCTTATGCAGGACTTGTGGTTTGGTTTAGGGCCATGTGGACTATGAAGTAAAGAAAATATCTATTTATTTTGACATGCATTCCTTTCACATGTGTCACACATGAATGTCCTGTCTGCAATTTTTAGGGAAGAGTGAAACTAAGATAGGGCCTACTTTGTCTCTGTTTGTGTTACTTCTGCATCAAACTAAATTGAAGAGAGAGGAACAGCGAGTCCATTCTGTTTTGAAAGCACAACTGATTAGGTCACTGCTCCTCTCTCTCCTTCCCTCTCTGCACTGAGGCCTTTTCAGTTGTTTGTAATCAAATTGTATCACTCACCAACATAGCTGTGCCTGATTCACTTACATTTGAGCTTTAATCATTGTCACACAACTCCGGATTTCTGTTCAACAAATTGATTGGATTTGGCTATCAGCCTGATGCATAGACTACAGCCACTTTGATCAGTTCTGTGAATGACCTAAACACAAACTATGACCGTCAAACAGTACAGGAATGTGCGCTCAAGGCAGAGTAGAAGCAACAAAGCCGTGGGATGAAGCCTAAATGGACAATAGTGAGGACTGTTGTTGCATCTACCTTATGCACCAGTTAAAGCCAACACCAATGATGACAATGATAATTGTGATGGTGACATAGATGATGAAAGTGGAACCCGTACAGCCAAACCAGTGTTGCTTCTCAGCACTATTTAAATGTGTTTTTAGGGTGCCTTTAAATATGCATATCTGAGTGGATGTGGTGTTCTTGTTTATTTGAGCATAACCTGGAGTTTGGGGGGTAAATTCAGGGGGGTGAGCACTCAGGCAGGGAGCAGGGTGGGCAGCATAGAATGAGGCTAGAGTCAGAGAGAAAGAGGACATTTCTTTGGAGTTAGTCACTGAGGGGAGAGTTTGGGCTCCCTTCCAGCTGGTCTGACGGCTCTATCAAGGAATGTGTGTGACTGGAGGCCTGGGTGGGGCTGTGCACTTACTGTAGCTGCTCCCTCTGCAAGCAAAGCACAGAGGCAAAGCGACGTGATCCATCTCATGGACTGCTGATTGGTATTTTTTGCCCTTCACCACGTTATGTATTTGCTTTCTCCACTGTTGGGGACCACCCCTTTCGTGACTCCTGACATGATAGTTGCCTGTTTGACTGCAAGTGTGTTTGTGTGTGGCCTTACCAAGGTATTGAGAGCAGAAGTTGGGGAAACCTAATGTCTGGAAGTTATTGCAAATCTCATTTATCAGCAAATCTCACACAAATAGTCAAATGTATCTCATTTACTGTCATGTTCTTATATGTTATATTTGTCAGGGGCTACGGATGGAAATTAGCTCAAAGCTAAAATCTGGCATATTTACAATTGAAGCATTATTTGTCTTAAGTGTTCATTAATGTGCATTTTCCCTATTCAAATAAACGATTAAATGAAAATGAAATGAGAGATCTTACATACCTTTTATCTAATTTTGTTTTGGGCACCACTTATCCATGTGGATTCTATCTCACATTGCCTTCAGACTGGTACTTGACAAAAATCGACTGTGTAATTAAGTCAGCTTTTTACCTGAAAGACTGAGCCTTGGCCGTCTGATTAATATGTCTCTGTAATAGGAGCATGGGTTGGAGAGTGTACACAGCTGCTGTGGCGCATGTCTCCCTATACAAACATAAAGACTTACATGTACTAGCAGGCATTTATCAAAGTTATCTACCATATATTTCGGTAAAGGACTTGTTAAAAAAATCAACAACAAAGCACTCTTAGGCTTAACGTTAAGTCTTTTACAAGCTTTGCACCAATCTCAATATCTTTGTTTAATGAGCATGTCTACTTACTTTCTCTCTATTGCGTTTAGCGTTAGGCATAGACATTTGTTTTAGGGTCTCACAACCACCGTTATTTGGCATAGTTTTCACAAAGTAATCAGCAATTAAGCTTATTGAACATGTGGGGCTAGGAGGGATGATGATGGGCTTGGAGAGCCTGTGTCAAAATATCTTTTTTCTTCTGAGGGACATGTTCCCACTGGTCGATGCCTGTCTGTACACACATCAAGTCTGGTTCTTTTTTCATGCAGACTGACAAAGAGAAGGCTTTGTTTTACAATACGCAGGTGGGTTGAAGCAATAATCCTTGTCAGTCTGGTAAAATGTTGGGCTTGTCACAGCGAGTAAAATTAAGATTGACTTGGTATGCAAGATGACACTTGAAATCTAAACCATGTGTGCAGTTGCAACATTTTCACTTAATTTGATGATATGATTGTTGTAATTCTACATTGGTAATTGTGGGGAAATTCACAAGCATCTTACATTTCCTTTTTACATTGCTATTGGACTGGATTTGCATCTTCTTAACTTTCAATATGAAATGTTATGAGACTGAACTCTACCCGTGATAGAGAATGTGTTAGTATCTTCTCATTTGCAGAGGTGAGGGCCACACCAAAACATGGAGCTGGATTTATTTACTTAAAGGGAGTCTTTCACATAATTGCTTTCCAGGGTCGATACTGCTACTACTGTTGGTTAATTATTTAAGCATCTCAAGGCCCTGAATGGTTATGGGAAGGTTCATTGAGCACGTAAACTAAAATGCAGAGAGTAAAATCCCTAATGTAACCACAGTACCTGGGGTTTTGTCATGTTGGGACAATAGACTGTATAAAATAGGTTGATTCGCACCTCTTAAAGCAACAATGACTTGTGAGGAATATGTTTCGTTATCTGTCAAACTTGCGTGTGAAATGTTGCTGCGTAAGAGAGCTGCATGATGGAATCAGAGTAGACTTGTTTTGCATGATAACAGTAAAAGTTATTGTTCTTTTCATTTAAATCCTGTTTTATCATATTATTTAAATTCCAATCCTGTTTTTGTTTTTCTGTCTACAGAAGCCAAGAGAACAAGAACCACAGCATCTGACTGTAGGCCTTGGCCTTGCTTGAGCAATCCAAGGTGAGAGGAGAATTACATTACTTATCGCCCTTCACTCTAATCCAAGCCTAGTATCTAGTCAGTGTCACGGTGCCACCTAAGAACAGCGTTGTATTATGTGGCGAGACACCAAAACCTCTGTTGGAATGTTTTTAGCAAAGCCTCCTTTGAACCTGGAAGGTCATATCACTACCATTCAGCTGTGAAAGTTCTGCCTTATGGAAACCTGACACTTGCCTTCTTCTGCTCCCTGTGCCTTCTCTTTTCCGCCCTCCTTCCTCCCCCCACCACCTGTTCTGCTTCAATCCCTTTCCCCTTCTTATGACACAAACTATGCCATGCTCAAACAGTTTTAACTGTTTGTATTTGGCAGGTCTGGATGATGTATTCCTTAAGAGGGGAATGATAGCAGTAGAAGCTATACCAAACCTAAACCAATAGGCCAGTGAGGCTGTGACCGAGGCATACCCAGGACAGCTCTGTGGGCGCACTCGAATAGAAAGTATTGCCTGACTGACTGTCTTCACATCCCCCCTTGCTCAACCCACATTCCAGGCTTTAATACAATTTGATGGATAAACAAGTTCATCTGTTTCTGTTGGTTCCCTTTAATGCTTCTTGCCAAAATTATCATTTTGTTCGATCCTCAAATATGCTTTTGGTGAAATCAATAATCAAATCAAAGACATATGACATCAGGTATCTATCTCAGGCATTTCAGTCAAATTAAAGGCTAAGAATAGAGGACTGGTTCATGCTCATGTTGCCTGATTGCTCTGAGTGACAGACTGCCTGCCTGTCTTATGATCCCAAGAACAGAGGCTTACTTATTAAGCACCTGTTTGCACAATTCAAAATTCACATATAATCCTATGATCTTTGTCAAGTTAATGGTTCCTCTCTGCTCTATTTCCAAAATATAGCTTATACTATGTTAGGGTAATTTCTAAGCTTTTCTTCATAGGAATTGCCCTACTTGAGACTGATAAAGAATGAAGACAGAAAGTGAGGTCTTAATATTGAGGATGCCCTCTGCACAGCTGTTGAAAGTTGCTGTTACCACATCAGTGATAACCCTGCGTTGTCATTCTCCGTTGGCTGTTTTCTCCCGCTTCTTACTTTAAACTTGTGTGCTAACATTCCACAGAGCAGTTTCACAACCATTCCTTTCCCTTTCTATCTTACTATCTTGCTCACTTTCATTTGTTCTACCATTTCCTCTCTATCTCCCTCCCTCTCTCCTTCCTTCCCTCCTATGTTGCTGTGAGCCCCAGCCCCTCCCTGCAGATAGCTGCCAGAAATATGTTAAAGCTGTGAGAACAAGGACAGCTCAAATAGTTAATTCTCGATCATACAAGCCTCAGAGCGATTGTAAAATAAGAGAGCTGTATCCTGAAGTTTTCCCTGTTGAATTAGAAAATAGTTTTCTCACCATTGGTATTAGGGATCTTTTGTAAACACATTAATGTTGCCTTTCACTTCCCTTTCTGAAATTTTATTTTTCAAAAACACTTAATCTTGCCACTTATATTATTTCCCCCTCTCAAACTGAAGCTGAATAGTTTTGTGTTAATTCAAGACCTCAGAAATAAAGTAAATCAAGATCATGTGAAAAAAAATTTCAGACGTTCTTGTCTGTTTTTAGTTAATGGATGAATAGAGGTGGTGGATATATACAATGTGCAGCATTGGTTCAAACCAGTCCAAATAATCTTAGGCTGAGATACAAGCCTGGTTAAGAAACTATAACTGGCAAGTTCAGTTGTGGAATTTGATCTGCATGAGTTAATTGGGTAAAGCTGGGTCTTTGGCACGGCAAACCTTGTTTGTCCCTTCCTTGCTCACACATTTCAGCTATGTTGGATTCATAACATGGTATGGATACTGTAAGTCTTGAGGTCTTGAAAGTTTCATGTTACTGGCTTCAGTCAGGACACAGTGACAATGCGAGAGAAAGAGGAGGAAGAAGATCAGGTTGTGGATGCCTGTCAGTGGTTGGCGTCATGCTTGGCATAAATACCATCCCAGCTCCGGTGTTATCACTATCAGTGGACTTGGCTCTCATTATTCAGTCTTGACAGTGAACAAAAGGCTATTTTAGAGAGCAGGGTTATTACTTCATAGCATTACATGGATTTTCCAGTATTAAAAAAGGACCACTCTTTTTTTAAATTCCTTTGTTCCCAACATCATGTTGTCTTACGAAACTGTATTGTAACTTCAGTGAATAGGTTAGGGATTTGTGTCCTATACGGTTTTAATCAGGTTGTTTACTGTGATGCAAATAGCATGGAAAACTTTTCTACATTTGTGTTGAAAGTAGTAATTTTTCAGATTGACATTGAAATACGTTTTTTCTCAGATAGTTTTCCTGAAGACAGAAAGTCTTTGTTCAGACCTTACATTAGTGTTTCAGATCCATCAGTTTAGTCATCTTTCTTAGACTTTATTTGTCTTATTTTGTAAGTGTATGTAAATAAAAAAGTGTTTGCAAATATGGCTGATTACAGACAAATATACAGTTCTTTGAAACTTTCTGAATGGCTGCGCATTTTGATTTGGTAAATTGCAACAGTCAGCAACAGGATGATTTCTTCAATTGAAAGGACAGTTGAATCACATTCCTGTCAGTGTCTTATGGTGCAATATATTTCAGTGTTTAAGTACAGTCCAATATTGACTGGTTGGTGTTGGTATGATGAACTAGAACATTTGATCAATGCTGAAGCAGTGGAAGAAAAGAACGACCTTGGTTTTTAAACGAATATTTTAGGAAAAATAACATATGATCTGTGGGATCAATGTAAACCACTTTGCACAATAGTATTTGCCAAATGAATGCAAATAAAAAAACATGCCAACCATTGCAAGCTAGGTAGAAACACATGGCTTAGACAGCTTTTTTTAATTAAAGGTGTGGGTTGAGAAGAGTTTGGTAATAATAAAACAATGGGTTGTCTGTTCTCAAGAGCAGGGATGGTAGAACTGGTCAACATTTTTGAAAAGGCCAGTCTGAGAATCATATAAACAAACCTTAATATCTTGAAATTCTTGCATATGTGTTTACTATAGTCCACATCATAATATCAGTAATAGTAAACCTGAGCATGTCTGTAAATCTGCTTGAATTATTACATTATTGTTTCCTTACTAAATAGAATTATGCATCATGGCCAGAAATACACTATCTACTGAACTTAATTACAAACCAAGCATTATATGTTCAATTATTTTGCATTGCTGACTACCTTGAAAATGATCAATTTTGGGAAGTTGTGGTAGTCATTGAGATACATATATGGTCAACCTAGATTAAAACTGAAACATAGCTGTCATTACTAAGCAGAGTAAGAAGATTGATGTCAGTTGATGTCAGAAAGAATGTGTTGATGAGATAGCATGTACAAACGTGCTGCTGTATGAGTTACTGTGTATTTATGAGCCTTTATGTATGTTTTCATAAAGCAAGGCAGCTTAACTATTATTGTTCTCTCTATTGACATTAGAGCTTTGGGTTGGGTGCAGTATTGGGCTGCTTTCCTTAGGGCAGGGTGTGGTCTGACTCAAACCAAATTGCCAAATCACAAAGCACCCAGTAGGAAAGGGCATGATGGTTTCTAAAGGGTCTGACATAGTTTTACCACCATCTAGTGTTCACCATAGGGTCAAACAAGACACAACAACTCACATTAATGTTAAATATAGGATTTAGCTTGATTATGATCTGGAATAAAATACTGACAAAAAGTCATGCAATGCTTGTAATTACCTTATAATTAATGATTATTATTGTCTTTTTCTGTCTATGTAGGAAAACAAAGATTGAGTTTTCAACACACCGGGGCTATAGAGGAAAGACAAATCAAGGTATTTTATAAAGTTAAAGTCACAACAAATCCTTTGTATTTCTATAGCTTATCCTGTATACTTTTCTTGCCAACTACAATGTTTGTTTTGTCTCAGATCTCTTATTTTATGGTTATGTCAACAGATGGCTGAAGAGGAGGAGACCAGAGAGGTGCTCTTTCAAGATTGGGAGGGTCCAGACAAATCTGGCTTTACAATTGAACAGACAGGTGGAGAGATCTTTGTTGGGGAGGTTAAAGGAGAGTCACCTGCAGCACGTTCTGGAAAAGTATATGAAGGTAGCACATTCTCCTTTTTTGTGTGAATTGGTGTGAATTAAGATTGTTCTCACCTACAAGTTGTTTGTGTTCTTAACAGACATTTTTTCTGCTGTCTGTACAAAATTCATAGGTGACCAGATTGTCGGCGCCACAGTATACTTTGATAACATGAGCTCAGAAGAAACAGCTGAACTACTAAAGACATTGAACCGTCACAAAGTTGGACTGAAGCTGCAAAACAAAGGAGACAAATCCCCTTGCTGCTCGCCCTTGAGCACACCATGTCGTTCACCAATCGGCACCCTGACATGGGAAGGAAAGACCCGGTTTGGAGGTTCCAGTCCAGATATCATCCTTGTAAATTATACTTTTTTTTAAATGATTTTATTTTAATTACACAGATTTGTTTATTGGGAAGCTAATGAACAAAATACATATTATGTTAACATTTCTATATTATATAACATCCTGTCTTTTATATCAACAGGGCGGGGAGGATGAAGACTACAAAAGAATATACACAAAAAAGATTAAGCCCAGGCTGAAGTCTGAAGACCTTGCAGAAGGCGTGGATGTTCGCACAGAGCGGCATAGCAGCACAAGCAGCGATGGAAGCACAATTACTACCGTCACCCGCCGCATCACGACCTACACTGTGGATATGCCGGGTGGCATAAGTGAGCAACTTGAACTTTCAAGCCCAGAGTTCAAGGGGCTAAGGCAAGAATCTGGTGATGGCTCTTCTCATACCATAATCTCACATGGCAGCCCCGCAGGTAAAGTGGGAGCAGAGGGGAACGTTTTTGACTCAAGCAATGTCTCTTACACTGGGCCACAAGTTGGCTCCATAGAGACACGCTGGGGTACTGGGGGAGTTCAGACCACAAGAACTTCAGGAGAGGTAGAAGGTCTCAGATTTAAAGGGTCTAACTTTGGAGGATCAGGGAGCCAGGGGGGCAGTGAGATCTCAAGTAGGAGTGGAGAGCAAGTTGATGGAGGTATGCAGGTGTTAGGAACAAGCATGACAGTAAGAGACAGCGCAAACACCGATAAGCATGTTGCAATAGGAGGGTTCGGGGGTGGAGATGAGAATGGAGGGTTAACTAATCTGTCTTCACCAGGAAAGAGCGTGACGATTTCGACTTCATCCATGTTTAAAACACAGGAGGGAAGTGTTGACACCAGTTTAGATGAGAAGAAAAAGTTAAAGTTATCTGAAATCAGTTACCCGCAGGCAAAGGGATCAGGCCGTTTGGACAATTCGAATGTCCGACTTGAAGGAGGTTCCATATGTGTTGATAAAGAATTGAGTGATGGCAGGATAGGAGGATCGGCAATACAAAAAGGCAAAATCACCTCTGGATTTTCATCAGGGCCAGGAAAGATTTCAATGGCAGGGCGGGATGTCGACCTTACAGGTTCAAAGTTCAAAGGTGAGCTTGATGCTGAACTGCCAAGCACAAAGGTTCAAATTCCATCCCTATCTGGGCCAAATAAAGATGTAAACCTAAGGGGTTCCAAAGTAGAGGGGAATATTGATGTTACAGTGACTGAGGGAGGAATAAAGACAGACAACATAGATATTAAAAGTCCCACTTTTAATATTAAGGAGAAAGAAGGAGATTCAAAAATGCCTCGGATAAAGATATCATCATTTGGGGTCAAGGGGACAAAAGTTGACGCAAAAACTTCTGGGGTTGACATTGAAGGAGCAGAAATTGATGGTGGAAAGTCTGATGTAAAAGTGGAAGGAGCGAAAATCAAGATACAATCATTTGGCTTCACAGGTCAGAAGGTTGAAGCTTCAGATGTTGATGTAAAACTTGCCAAACCTGAAATTGATTTCAGGGTACCTGAGGTTGATGTCAATGCATCCAAAGTTAATGTTAAAAGCCCATATGTAGACATTAATGCTTCCAAAGTGGATATTGACTATGAGGGACCTCGAGGTGGATTTAACCAGTCGAAATGTACAATGCCAACCATTGGCATGAAAAGTCAGGAACTGGAAGCTCCCAAAATAAAAGGGAATGTGGACGTGTCAGTGCCAAAGATATTTGGGTTGAAAGGTCCAAAACTGGAAGGTCCAGACGTTGATGTTGACCTTCCTAAAGCTAACATTGTTGTGAAAGCACATGGAGTTGACATTAAAGGTCCACAGGTTGATATTGCAGGGCCAAAGGGTGGATTTGAAAGGCCAAAAATCAAAATGACATCATTTGGCCTCAAAGGTCCAAAAGTGGAGGGTCCAGATGTTGATGTTAACCTTCCTAAAGGTAACATTGATTTGAAAGGACCTGGAGTGGACATTAAAGGTCCACAGGTTGAAATGCCTAAATTCAAAATACCGTCCTTTGGCGTAAAAACTCCAAATGTTGAAGGATCAGAGGGTGATGTCACCCTCTCAAAAGTTGACATTGAAATGAAGGCCCCTGACATGGACGTGAAAGGACCAGATTTTGACGACAAAAGTACAAGTGGTAAAATCGGAGGACCAGCATTCAAACTGCCCAGCATTTCTGGACCAAAAATTCCAGATGTGGATTTACACCTCAAAGGACCCAAAGTCAAGGGGGATGTCGATGTGTCATCTTCAAAAGTTGAAGGAGACATTTTTGATATTAACCTGAAAGGCCCTAAAATCAAAGGGGATGTGAACGTGTCAGTGCCAAAGATATCAACTGACATACAAAGACCTGAAGTTAAAATCAAAGGTCCAGGAGTTGACATTGAAGGGCCAAAGGGTAGATTTGAAATGCCAAAACCCAAAATGCCATCATTTGGGTTAAAAGGTACAAAAGTGGAGGGTCCAGACGTTGATGTTAACCTTCCTAAAGCTGACTTTCATGTGAAAGCACCTGAAGTTGACATTGGAGGTCCAAAAGTTCATATTGAAGGAGTAGATGTTGATGGCCAAAAAGGAACATTCAAAATGCCGAAAATCCAAATGCCATCATTTGGCTTGAAAGGTTCAAAAGTGGAGGGTCCAGACATTGCTATTAAACTTCCCAAAGCTGAAATTGATGTTAAAGGACCCGAGGTTGACCTCAAAGGACTAGATGTCAATGTTGAAGGCCCTGATGCAAAATTAAAAGGAACCAATATCAAACTGTCCAGCAGTTCTGGACCGAAAATTCCCATGCCAGATGTGGATTTCAACCTGAAAAGCCCCAAACTCAAAGGCGATGTGGACATGTCAATGCCAAAGACAAAAGGAGACCTAAACAGACCTGAAGTTGACATCAAATGTCCAGATGTTGACATTGAAGGGACAAAGAGTGGCTTTAAAATGCCTAACATCAAAATGCCATCATGGAACATCAAAGGTTCCAAGTGTGAAGGTCCAGAAGTTGATATAAACCTTCCGGAAGCGAATATTGATGTTAAAACACCTGATGTTGACATAACAGGTCCAGCAGTTGATTTTGAAGGGCCAAAAGGTGGCTTTGAAATGCCGAAAATCAAAATGCCATCATTTGGCTTGAAAGGACCAAAAGTGGAGGGTCCAGACATTAATATTAACCTTCCCAAAGCTGATATTGATGTTAAAGCGCCTCACTTGGATATTAAAGGACCAGATGTCGACATTGAAAGTCCAAGTGGTAAAATCAAAGGTCACAAATTCAAAATGCCAACCATTTCAGGACCAAATCTCTCCATGCCAAATGTTGATTTTAACCTGAAAGGCCCCAAACTCAAAGGCGATGTGGACATGTCAATGCCAAAGATAAAAGGAGACATAAAAAGACCTGAAGTTGAAATCAAAGCTCCAGCGGTTGATATTGAAGGGCTGAAAGGTGGAATTAAAATGCCAAAAATCCAAATTCCATCATTTGGCTTCGAAGGTCCAAAAGTTGAGGTTCCAGATGTTGATATTAACCTTCCCAGAGCAGACATTGATGTGAAAGCACCTAAAGTTGACATCAATCTGAGAGGTCCCACAATCAAAGGTGATGTGGGAGTGTCAGTGCCAAAGATAGAGGGAGACATAGAAAAACCTGCTGTTGACATCAAAGGTCCACAGGTCGATTTTAAAGTTCCTAAGGGGGGATTTACAATGCCTACAATGACCATGCCATCACTTAACATTAAAGATCCAAAGGTTGAGGGTTCAGCCTTCAACATAAACATTCCCAAAGGAAACATTGATGTGAAAGCACCTGATGTTGATTTCAAAGTGAAAGGTCAAAAAGTCAAAGGAAAAATAGATGCATCCTTGCCCAAATTGGATTCAGATATCAAAGGTCCGACCATCACTATGGAAGGTGTGTCTATTGATTCTGAAAAGACAGGTATAACATTTCCCAAGTTCAAAGGTCCTAAGTTTGGAATGAAATCCCCAGAAGTCGAGGGGAAAACACTCATGTACAGTGTGGAAGCAAAAGGTTCCAAAACAGAACTGCCAGGTAGTGACACAGGTCTTGATGCCCCTGACATTAATATCAACGTTAAGGGGAAGAAGGGGAAATTCAAACTTCCAAAAGTGAAAGGAAAGGCAAAGAAACCCGAAGGTGATATAGAAACGCCTGCAGTAGACCTGGATGTAGACACACCCAATATTCAAGTCAAGGGAACAAAGGTAAAGAAGCCGCGTTTTGGTAAGCTTCATTTTCCTGATGTGGAATTAGATATGAAATCTCCAAAATTGAAAGGTGATGGATCTTTACCAGAGGGCATTGACAGTCCAAATATTCATTTGGGAGGGACGGATATGCAATTTAAGACTCCTAATATTAAAATGCCAAATGTGAATGTAGCTTCTGATGTCGATACACATTTGAACAGAGAGGCAACTATGTCTGTAGGTTTTAAAGGCCCAAACAGAAATGTGAGCTCTGGTGCAGAGCTTGATGCAAGTGCTTCAGGCCGCAGTGGAAGTGGGGCCCTTCATTACCCAGAAGGTACTGTAACATTTCCTAAAATCAAGGTACCACAATTTGGCATTATTCAGCCTCAGGAGGAAGTCCAGGGAGGTGAAGGAAGTTGGCAAGTTAGTTCACCAAATATTGAGGTTCCCAGTCCAGAACTTAGGCAAAGAGAAGGCAAAATAAGGGTAAAGATGCCAACATTCTTTGGCAAATCTAAAGCAAAGGGTAGTAGTGCGGGTGACCTTCGAGGACCAGAGGTAGGGTTGAGTACAAGTGGAAAAGGCGGTAAGGTACATACCGGGGGACTGACGGCTGGAAAATTAGAATTTGAGGGTGATCCTGGGCTCAGTGTGTCAGCTAAAGGAAAGTCAGCCTCACTAGATCTATTTAAGAAATCAAGGCATCGATCTTCTTCTCTGAGTGATGAGGGGGGGCCTGCAGTGAGTTCTCCTTCAGCTCACTTAGAAGCTGAGGGTGGCGACATTTCTTTAGACCTAGGAGAAAGCAAGGTCAAAGGAAAGAAAGGCAAGTTGAAGTTTGGCACCTTTGGAGGTTTCGGTGCAAAGTCAAAGGGCTCATATGAAGTGTCACTTGGTGGGGAGGGTGAAGCAGGTGCAGGTGTTTCTTTACCCTCTAAGACATCGAGATTGTCTTCATCCTCCAGCAGTGACAGTGGTTCGAGAGGTGGTTTCAGGTTCCCAAGACTTGAACTTTCTGTTTCACCAAAAAAATGATGAACAAATTAATAATGAGATAAATTAAACCCTCTCATGTACACCCAAATAGACTCACCTAACATGGAGATTTTTTAAAAAGATTTTAAGAATCTAAGGGGACGTACACAGTCATCTCAATTATGGTTAACTATGAGTAGTTACTTTTTTCAATGAATAGACAAGAGTGCATGAGATTGTTTAAAATCCCTTATCACTGTAAATAAGATTAAATTGTATTGTGATAATAACTTTTGTTTTTGTTTGTACATAGTCCAGATTTATTGAACATATGCCATATCATCCCATTCTCACAAGTAGTTTTAGTATTACAGGGTGGTCTTTTCTCCTATTGCATTATATTAAATTAATGGTATTAATGAATGGGTGTGGAATATTTGTATCCACAGAACATATAGTTACGATTTTTTTGAAGGAAAATGTTGTTTATACACAGACACAAATGCAAACAGTTATCAGTTTTTTTGTGTATTAAATGATTTAATTTTCAAGCTTTTGTTATTATATAATCAGTGCAAAGGCTATTTAGGAAACATCTAACTGGCACTTTCTAACACAATCCAAAGAATAATAGTGTTGTATATTCCTTAATTACAGAGAAAAATCCTGTTTGAACTACCAACTCTCTCAAATGCTGTCAGTACTTTACTGTTAATTTTGAAATAAACTTTATTAACCTTCAGAATCTGTACCATTTACAAAAAGTATGCAACGTATTAAACATATTTGCTTCCTATTCATGTGTCATTTTCATTCTGACCTGTTTTATTATCCTCTGTATTTTTTTTCTGTCACTCTCTCTTTGTACACAAACCTAATGATTATGTAATAAGATGTCACAAATAAAATCACTTTTTGATTGCGAACAGAATCAGTGTTGATTGAGAGTTGCTTAGTTTTTTATCAGATTTGAGATTTTACATTGTTCTTTTAATCAATATTTGCCATTGCTTTAATCGTGTGATAGGATACATGCAATATATGATTTAGTTTTGATTTCTTTCTACCACCGGAGTACGTTAGGTCTTTTCAACAGCGATTGCCAGAAGAAGTACTCAGATATTTTATTTAAGCAAAAGTAGCAATTGCACATTTTAAAAACACTCTTAAACAAGTTACAGTTCTGCATCAAAACATATTTATGAAAGTAAAAGTACTTTTCAGAATCATATAAACCACAAGATTATGATTATTGATGTACATGTGTCTATCACTGCTGGTAAAGGTGGAACTCAATTTCTTTACTTTATATACTGCTGCCAGATGAACTCCCATATCGATAATAGTATTAAAAACTTGAAAAATATCCCTTTAAGGTACATTTAAAACAGATACAAATGTGCGTTTAATTTGAGTTATGTCAAAATTAAGTTAACTATGGACATCATGCGATTAATTGCAATTCAATTGTTTAAACGATTGACATCCCAAAAATATGTACAATATTTATCATCAAGCAATTAGTCCAACTTTAATTGTTATTTATAATTTTGAGACATACTTAGACTTGATATCGGTGAGGTCACCACTGTACCTCACCTCGTGTACCCACCAACTAAGTCAATTTACTCAAGCACTATACCTAGCTAATTTACTTATTTCATTTAGATGCCACTTTGTACTTTTACTTTACTCTACAATTCAGAGGTTAATCTTGCATTTTAAGTCCAACATATTTATTTGAGTTACATTGCAGATTTGGATATTGATAACAATGTGAAATATAAACAAACCTTAAATCAGACTTTAGTTTTCGTGATTATCAAGTCCCACAAACAATTTAGCAATATATTTGATTGTGGGTGCTTGATAAGACTAAACATTAGATCCTTATAAACTAGCATATTCATTACTCGATATTCTCTTGGTTAAAGACTGTTGGCTATTTTACATATTTAGATACCCCCGAAGCTTTTTGCCTATTTAAACAAAAAATACCTTAACCTAAAGTATTCTTTAATGTTTAAATAAAGCCTAATTAGTAGGTCTGTTTTGCACATTATCCTATTAATATCTTTGGACGTCCTGCACTAAACCTTTTTATTGTAGATATAACTTACAGTATCTTTTTGATATTTTTTATTCTATATTTCTATAATTGACCTTCTACCTGCCTAGTGTGTATCTACTTCTATATTAATTTGTTATCAAATATAACATACTCAACAAAAACATGCAGCAGACATTAGCAATACATCCTCCCTGCATATGACGCTAAAAGAGTCATAACGTGCTTTCGACACTAGGTGGAGCGGGTTAAAAAACTGTCCAGTTTACAGTGTTAACAACATATATTATACACTGCTGAAAAAGCTCATTCTTATTTGATAAAATTGTCTATTTTCCCTAAAGTAAAAGAGACTCATTTTAAAATCTATAAATCTACCCAGTTTCTGAATTTAAGGTTTTAAATTATAAATAGACAAGTTATTTTTCTAATTTACAAGTTGAATCATTGGAACATTATTTTTCTCATGCCCTTTTTCTAAATGATTTTAGTCTAATGTGAGGGATTGGTTGTTGCATAAATTAACAGGTATTCATGCCTTCAAAATATGTCACATTTAATTTGATATTGAAAATATGGAATCTTTTAATAAAATAGCTTTTTCTATCTCTTAAAATACAGCAAAATAGCTAAAATGATTAATAGAGATGTTTCTAATTTATTATTATGTTAAGTAAGCTCCTTAATGCCTCTTTCATTATTCTGTGTCTTTTTTGTTAACCCCCTTGCTCTTATTGGATGTGTTATTTATGCTTTGTGTCTTTAATGTGAATTAACTCTTATTTTGAAATAAATAAGAGTTAATTCTTATTTAACTGGTAAAATAAGAACCAGCCTGTTTTCTTACCTTTCCAATGGTACAACAAATCTCCTCTGCCAATGCCAAACAGCAGCCAATCTCCAGTCTCGTAGGGCTGCCAGGAGCCTGCCATGACTGCCCTTCACCGTCAGGCCCACTTCTACTGGAACCTCAACATGTGGAGGAATATTATGTTCAGTGTTGAGTTCAGATTCTGCCTACGGCACATGGATCGTAGGGTCACAGTGTGCAGAGGACGCAGAGAAAGCCTTGCTGATTGCTGCACCGATAGAGTAGGAGTGGAGAGGATGGGATGGCCTGCAGTCCTGACCTCAACCCCATTGAACCCCATTTTGGGATCAACTTGGCCCTGCTGTCCGTGCCAGAGTGACCAACACCACCACGTTGGCTGACTTGGGACAGATGCTGGTTGAAGAATGGGATGCCATCCCACAGCAGAGTGGCTGGCGAGCAGGCTGGTGACAGCATGAGGAGGAGAGGCTGTTGCTGTGGCTGTGTTTGGTTCTTCCATAAGCTACTGAGACTGCTTGTTAAATGAATCAATTGTTGCCAATATGTCTTTATCAGACTTCAATCATCCAATCCACCAAACAACACCAAACTACAGTCAGCAGCAAAAAAAGCTGTTTGGCATTGGAAGAGGAGATTTGTCAAATTTGTCATGGGCTCACCCCACATACTCCATACTGAAAGGTAATTAAACAGGCTTTCCAACGGTATAAGATGTATTGCCAAAAAGCTCATAGAAATTATCTACATTAGGCACGTTCACACCGCAGTACTTTTCCCACTTTAGTTCATCAGAACTCTTTAGTTCTGATGAACTAAGTACAGATCGCGTTTACACCGGAATAAGTCCCTGGGGGTGGATTATCTAAATGAAGCCGCTGACGTCACTTTTTCTGCTTTGGGNGACAAACCCGTGATTATTCTCAAGCTCTGTGATTGGTTGACCTCCAACTAAATAAAGTATGATTTTATCTTTTACGAAACGTTTTTTTTCATATGGAATGTAGTTGGAGGTCAACCAATCACAGAGCTTGAGAATAATCACGGGTTTGTCAAACAGAGCACAAGGTGTAGTCCTAAACGATAGCTGGGGATTCTGGGTAGTGTAGGTTCTGCCATCCTTTACTCCGAAAAAATATTTGTTTCTCCGAATCGAAGGGGAAAAATACAAAAGCATTGCACACAATTTAATTGTAATAATAACAAGGATAATCTGGTGTTTTTTAGTCGATGAGTAGTGCAGATATCACTGTAAAATCAATCGACAGTAAGGGGAATACTTACTTCCGGGTGTACAATTCTCCGTTATCCAATGGGAATGGACGCTCACATTGCCTTTAAGGGCAGCCGACACAAACGAATGCCGTGCTTCCATGAGCGTCAAATCCCGCCGAAGATGGGAATACATTGCAATCAGTTGAAAGCTATTTGCGTCCCTTTATGAAGCTGAAGGAGCCTAGGAGCGTCACAACTTTACGCCACGGGACCCTGACCAAACGTCGCTCCTGGACGATTATGGAGTGAGAGTGTGTTGCCCTGACACACCGGGGACACATATTCATGTATAAAAGACGTTCAAAGGTGCATTTTTCATGATAGGTCCACTTTAAGTAATGGCTTCATCCTGTTTTTAAAATCTAAATTAATTTAATTAGCGAAGATAATTGGATTTCCTTCATCTTCTTGGTAAATTGTTTAAAAACCTCAAACCTTAAGCCAAGCCAGAGAGATGGTGTTCAAAAAGTTAACATTTGACTTGTTTGCAACATGCTTCTTTTGTTACATCATATGCAAACATGTTATCATGCATGTGATTTTGTGCTATCCTACCTCGGGAGCCCTGTGAGTAAGCAGACCACAAGTTAGGGATTCTCTAAACAAAGTGAACCTAAAGTTACAACAGAGGGCTGAGTGTATCCATGGAGAGATGACAACTACAAAGAAATCACAGTCAGATAAGGACAGCTTGCAATGCTGAAGATACACTATCTCGCAACATGCAGGTCACCCGGCCTGATATTTGCCATCACCATAGTAACTCATCATTGGAAATCATTTTGGAATTCCCCACAGCGGGTGCTCCCTCACACACACAAACACACACACACACACACGCACACACACACACACACACACACACACACACACACGCACAAGCATACACTGATGATTCAGAAAGGCGAGCTACTCCTTTGGTACAGAGAAGAATGTAAAAGGGGAATGAGAGACAGATTGAATTGTGGTTTCCACTGCAAGTTGTGAGTCACGAACACGAGGGAGGGACGGAGAAGAAAAAAAGAGCCTATTCTGGGATGGCCGCTATAGCAACATAATAAGCAAGTGGGCAGGTACTTGCAGGGATGTTTCCATAGCAATGCCCTGTGTGTGTATGGATAAATATCACATGCCACAAAGCGTAACGTAGGAAGGAACTTTGTTCTACTTTGTTTGTAAATGTTTTTTATTTGAGAAAACCTGCCCCTCTTTCTGATCTTCATTGACAGCCTGAACTATCTTTGTTATGTCTGCACAGTAGACTCATGGTAACAGACCGATGCTGGGAACACCTTTCACATGTTCAGTCTTGGCACCGCCGTCACATTGCGCAGTCAGAGTAATTAAGTCGCTGAGTGTTTTGCCTTTAGGTGTGTTACTAATTCCCAATTGTTTCAACATTCTGTATCAGCCCCCAGAAAATGAAGTAACTCCAAAGATTTTACACATTCATTGGGACACAGATATCTCTGTGTTTGCATGTGATAAGCACACAGTGTGATCAATTTATCTACAGGGTCTGACAATCACTCTAGTGTTTTGAATCATTGATCCAAGAGAGCGATAAGGGGTTTTGGAAGAGTGTATATTTGCCCTTTGGCTCATCACCCATATGTTGTGCTTCAAGAAAACAGATACCTTCCAAGGCTGCACATTCCAGGCATAGCTGTACATTTTCCAACACTGCAACTCGTTCGTCGGGGAGAATGTAAACTCATAAACTGCCAACAAGATAATACTTGAAATAGCAATCTATCACATATTAATTTGAAGGGTTGGGGTTCCTGTTTGTTGAAAATGCTCATCCAGGCTTAAACTGCTTATTTCTTCACCTAAAATAGCAGGTATCTGTTAACTGATCTGTAAAATCAAAGTTTCTCTAAACAGTGCTGATTTCAGTTATTATACTCAAGAAACATTTTACTAGGAGGGACAATTGCAGTTGTATTGCATGGGAAGATGATAGATAGCCTGGGGTTAGGGCTGGGCAAGCTGACCATATATATTGTCAAAATGATACAAACATTTATATTATAAATATTCTACATCGTTTATATTACAATAAATGCTATTTTTACTACTGGGACTACTACTTTTTTTTACTACTATATTACAACCTCTACTTTTCATTCTAAAGGTATTTAATTCAAACTGGAGTCTACAACAATAAGCTTTATCCTGTAATTATTTTATAAAGACTATTTATTTATTGAATTACCAAAAAATCATAATCATGACCTGTATTGTGACAAAAGATTGAAATGTGAACATTTAAGTTTTGCACAGCAAACCCATAAAACGGTTGCAAAGCTATTATAACTAACTTTTCAATATATTTGTATTTGTTCAACATAAAGCTGAATACTATTGGACAGAAGTGCATGGAACGGGGAGGAATGGATTAATACCTTTTTTTATATTTTCAACTTGTTTCCCTGACAGTGATCAATATTGCTACACTTGGTAGTCATGTTAGCGCCTGTATCCGTTTTGCTTTAGTTTGACAACCTCACTCCCAGTGCCCCACCTCCAGATTCTGGTAATTTGAGCCAGAGGCAACTCTGGGGTTTCATGTCCAAAAGTGCACGGGCTGTCTGTTTTCCCTCCGCCGTACCTCTCTCTCTCTTCCCTCGTGTCACGCACTTTCCTCTCCTCTCTCACACTGGCAACCTCTGTTTCAAGGCAACGCACACTTACCAAGAAATCACTTATAAATAAGCCCTTTTGTAAACAATGATGCCCCACTTCATTTAAAGGCTCTTACTTACAGGCATTGTTATAAGCCAGCTTGGTTGCTCTATCATCTTGTCTCACCCTGCCTTCTTCATCTATTTCCCCTCAGCGGACTGACCTTTGACCTCCCTCATTCCATTCCAGTACTAAATTACTATGCTGTGTTTTAGTGCCACAAACAAAGTGTACACCCCTTTAAGTACACCATGGGAAGAAACGCCCCTCATACCGAAGGTCACTTTCCTGGATAAAGGAACATGCTTGTCATAATTCCAGTTTGTGTTTTTCAGTGTCCTTATTTGCCTTTGCTGGAATTTCAGTGTATTAACTTGTGCCTAGCTGTACCTCGTATGCAAGGGGACACATGAGGTGAGAGAAGCCCTCAAATGCTGACTGAGTGCCCAATTCCTTTTGCTCAATTTTAGTGTGTGTGTGTGTGTGTGTGTGTGTGTGTGTGTGTGTGTGTGTCTATGTGTGTGTCAGAGGGGCTGCAAGCCAACCCCAGACTAGAGTTGAAGAAAGCTCCATGAGACGTTGAGGGTGGGACTGCGTATGTGTGGTGAAAAATACTTGTTTCACTCTGCCTAGAGACGCCCCTGCGGCCTTCTGACAATACTTACACATTCTTCTATTGGCCCTTTAGCACAGACACTGTTTCAAAGCTGTAAACATGTCTAAAGTGAAATAAATATCTTTCTAGGGGTTTGTGGCCACCGCTACAACTTGTTTTTAAAAATATCTGCTTATCTTATTATAACTCTTCGAGGCACCGAAAAGGCTAAACCAGTAAGCAGAACTTGTTTAGCAAAAGCCACAATGTATTGATCTTATTTGGAGAACACTTTGTTAGACTTCAGCCTCTGACTCCCCAGTGTTAACTCCTCACCTCACTGTTCCAAGCCCCCCACCGGCTGCCTCACTCTTTTCCAGATGTGTGTCTTGCACCACCAGATGCTCAGCACATGCATACCATGCCTAAAGCTCCTACAGGGGACTGACAGCCACACAGGGACCTTGTGTGGCGAAACAATACAGCCTCTCACTGTGTTCTTCCCCGTGCCAGCACTCCTCACTGCTGCAACTGCTTTTAACAAACCCCCCACCACCACCACCTCGTGCACGGACATAGAAATATGTCCAGAAAGCAAGGAGAGAAGAAAAGAGGAAGGGAAAATAAGTAGTGAGTGTTTGGCCCAGAGAGAGAGACCAGGGGGGATGGGGGGAAGGCTGGCAGAGCTGGAAGAGAAAATGTTGCTGTTGGCATAAAACTGCGTATTGTTCTTGTGGCATGGCTTTAGTTTAGGTTTTAAACTCAGAAGTTACTAAGCACAAATAAAAACAAGAAAATGGTATGGACCTAATATAGCCTATTGAGGCTTAAAACAGTTTGTGCTCACATTCATTTCATTTTTGATTGCACGATAAAAAGGCTTTTGTACCTCTACTACTTCAGCCATCAAAGGGTTAGTAATCAGCAGTGTTGTAACTGCTGCAATGTTGTGGGTGAAGTTCGAGTTATTTGCTGAAGTTACAGCCCTCTTCCACCAAGATCCACAGGATGGGTGAGTCATGTGTTCAAGGACTTGGGCGCTTCGCTGTTGTGGGAACATTTCCATTTTCTGATTTCCATGAGACCACAGAACAAACTAAAATGGCCTCCCTGATTCAACATGACGGTGGAAGATGGTTGCACCACAATGATCCCGAATCACGCTTAGTAAGTAGGAAAAAATGACAGATCTGACTCACAGTGGGAAGAGATTCATTTCTTGTGCATCTCTCGTGTGTGTATGTCAGAGAGAAAAACAGGCCCACCCTAGATCTTTGCTTTAGATTTGAATATATTCAGTGATTAAATTAGCATTCTACATAGATTACAGAACATCTCAACACTGCTATTCAAAGGGAATGTGAATTCTTAGAATATAAATGTTAATTTTCATGTGTGGTGCTCCACGTGTCCTATTTGACCTGTAGCTATAGACGTCACATGACGCATCACATAAAGAAATCAGTTATAGCAGAGGTAAAAGAACTAGCCAGGCTACAGGTGTGGCAAATTATCAAAAGTGTGATACAACCCTTGATATGGTTGGGTGTTAAAACAAAGATGTTTTCACAGTAATACATTAACTCTACCAGACAGAGGGAACAGCATTTGAAGCTTTAACATTTTCAAGTATTAGTAACATTTTTAAAACAAAACAAGGGAGTTATAGCATATATTTTAAGCTTTCAGTCTGATGGAAAAATAATGTACTCTATAAATTCAGAGAAAATAGCAATGACATCTTAGTGGTCTATTCCTCTAAATTGGAATCATTTCTTCTTTATCCATACCAACTTGCAGAAGTGGGCACCGAGAAATTGGCATTTCTGCACTTTCGTTGGGTGTGGTCGAACCTTAAAGATTTCGTAACCCTCTAATATCGAATACATAAACTGTATTTAAGCTTTTTTTGATATAAAAAGCTAAATGTTATGCTCCAGTGAAACTTGAAGGTAAAGTTTTAATCTGTTTTGATGTAAACTGCCCTTTGCCCTTGTAGAAGAGAAGGTTGTTAAAGTGGATCTGGTTTTTTTTTACAACATTTTTTCAAGGCTTCATCTAGCCTATTCAAAGCACCATAAACATTGAAACTAAGACCCATACTTTAAAGCAGACATTTTGTTAGATTTGACAGACCACAGGCATCATTACATCTTTCCAATGACAAGTCTTTGCTGCCCCTTGCTGGAATCAGAGGGTACTTCAGCATTGGCTATAATTGTAAGTTAGTGGAGCTGCTTCTCTGGGTAGTAGTTCAAGTGATATAAATTATTCGTAATTATGATGTATGCAAAGTGTATTCACACTTACATCAGAAAAATAAGTACAAATGTCTAGGATATTCTATAGAGGAAATATCCAAGTCGTTTGACAGCAAGGTAAATCTTTGTTTCACTGACCTCTTCTGGTTTAACGTTTCAGCTCTGATGCTTTCCAACCACACCCAGCTTTGTCATTGGGTAGGGTCATAACTGTGCAATGTTGCATCATACAACACGGATATCATGATGGTTGAAAAACATGACATTTTTCACTTCTAGTTTTGAAAATAAACGTGTCACATGATACAATTTTATATTGCCGTTTATAGATCCTGGCCTGCACACAATAAGTTTTACCTGTAAACATTTATAGTCACTGTTCTGGGTGGTACTCTGACGGGAAATTGATCGGAATTCAAATATGCTTGGATAGTTTGCCATTTGAACATGAAATGAGACTCGAATCAGACCAAAGACATCAAATCCAAAAGATGGCATTGTGGAAAATGCTTTATTTTGCAGGTCAAAGAACACAAAAACAGCTTGGGGCCACTGACAATTCACTATTGTCTTTACACTGTCATTCTCGTAATAAGCACTTGGTCGCTTAGAGTCAATAGGTATTAAGTGTTGGAAAGCAGAAGCGAAGACTGTCCCAGTGTCCTCTCACTTGAAGACCTTGCCCTGGTTGAAGGCTTTACCCACATGCTTGAAGTCTCCCTCCCAGGCAAAGTACTCCTTTACCATGGTCTTGCACTCCTCGCTGCTGGGATCAAGCTTACGCCAGTCATATGATTCGTAGTCGATTTGCCAGTCTGGAGACAGCTGGAAGGGAATAAAAAAAAAAAGTTATTTGAATGCAAGTGAATGATATTCCTGTCCGACAAACTTATTGATGTACCACCATCATGATAGTTCCTCAAGAGGCGAATACTTGGACCATCAAATGGTTTACACTGAGAAGCAGACTATAAAGCTTTAGTGTATGCTTCAACAATCTAAAGAACGCCTTGTTTTAAAACATTTTAAAATCAGAAATGTTGTACAAGCTGCATACAGCTGTACAGACACCCCAACCTACAAAACCCAATGTTTAAAGTACATTTTTGATATTGCATATAATTTGTGCCCATAGCATGAACCAGCCTACTGCTCACTGAACCAGAGGTGACTGGGATGAACATGGTCTCTAGTTTCTCTACCCCCGTCAGATTAAGACTTTGTGCCATGAATGGACACCGCCTTGCCCAGACAGGGGCTAGTTAAGCAGTTGATCTACATTCATTTAAAGTTAAGCTGCAGTCAAAGTATTTTACATTGACTATACACAACTGACTGCTTTTGGACAGACAACATTTTGAGTGTGGGTATTATAAAGGGCAGGACATTGTGGAATGTATATTTTTTCCATTTCAAAACTTACAGGGAAGACAAGTTCCTGGCCTCTGAAGACCCAGACGCCTGAGATGGTGCTGTTGTTCTTGGTACCAAACAAGAGGACACTGCCAAAGGCATTCTTTCGGAGTTTGTCCAGGCGCTGGAACATACCTGTTTACACAAGAGTTTCAGACATTAAACAAAAAAATAAAATCATACATACAATCAGTACCGACAAATTAAGCACTTTACTAAAGTTCATCATTTCTACACCAACTTCATGCATGAAATAGATGTGGCCAAACAAAGACCAACATTAAAAGAGTTAGTCTGTATAACTGTGCCCATAGCATGAACCAGCCTTTACTCACTGACAGAGTCGACTGGGATGAACATGGTCTCTAGTTTTTCTGCCCCCGTCAGATTAAGACTTTGTGCCATGAATGGACACCGCCTTGCCCAGACAGGGGACATCTATTTTCCCCTGAAGAATGGAGTTGCCCAATTGGTGTCAATAACTGTTACAAACCAACATAGAAATTCCAGCTATTAAGTGTATGTTTGATACACAACCAATAGTGTCAGTGTCACTGGTTAAAGCACTTCTCTGTGATTACATTTTATTATTTGATAATGTTATTTAAAAAGCCGCAAATTTGCAACAAACATTTTTTTATGTTGAAACAAAAGCTACTGTTGAAACACGTACCTTGCCCAGGGGGAAGTTGTTGAGGAAGGCAAGGGTCCGGTTTGTCTGGCCGAAGGTGAAGGCAGGGGAGTTGCTGGCGACTTTGAGGCGAGCCCCGCTGTACTGGGCTGCAATTTGGGCCTTGAAGGCCCGCCAGTTCTCTGGGTATGTGTACAGAGTCTAAAAAATAAAACGAGACAACACTGCCATTAGAAAACTATTTCAAAAAGCAACCCAATTGAAGGTTCACGGTAGCATTTTCGCTAGCAGGTTAGCCTATGAAGCACAAACATTCTGGTTGAATTGTCTGCTACGGTTAAAAAAAAAAAAATAGATAAATTGTAATAGCCCTATCATATTGCTCGATTACTAAGCCTACATAAAAAAAGAACCATCAGGTAAAATAATGATGGGATAAAAGCCACACGTCGAGTCTAAGTGATATCGCACAAATGAAGGTGCCATCCAATCAAGATGCTGGGCCATTTAAAATGTACAGGATAGAAATTAGGGCAGGTGAAGCCGCTGGATTGTAATACTTTGCCATTCAACTATATCGACTAACAAGGCCAAATGCACTCAGTTAAAAAATGAGTAAAATATTTAGCTATATTCACGTGCTTTGTAGCTTGTTTAAATGCTAACACATGCTAGCTACCAGTACCGGTAATGCAGCCGACAGTTGTTTCTACAGCTGTGGATCAAGTGGCTTTAAAAAACTTCAAAAAAACAAATATTGGTTACAAGTCTACAGAAAGAGAACATTAACACCAACGTAAAGGAAAACTCCCAATGCAACACTAAGCTTTACATCCTGGAAATATCTAAGGTAACGTGGCACAAGCCTGGGCCAGAAGTTGGGCGTGAATCGCCGTGAATGCAACGTCAGGACAGCATAAGCTAACCTTAGTTTGTAGGAACAATGAATGACATTTTACATAAATACCAGCAATAACGTCTACCTAACGGGTTGAAAGTGATGTTTAAATCCCAAGGTATTCATTGAGAGTGCGGATGTTGCTGATTTTTAACGGATTGACCCATGAAAATTAAAAGAAAAACCATAAAGCTAGCCATTTTACTCACCCCTGCCGCCATCTTCAGGACGAGAGAAAGAAAGACCGAACGCTCCGGTGACGTATTTACGGCCACCAGCCGTGCGCGCCCCTGTGATTTCCGCGTTCACGTTTCGCCTCATTTGAACAGAGACGGTGTCAGCATGTTATGTACAAGTGACAAGATATTACAATTCAGTGACATTTAAAACACAAAAAAGGATACAAAGATTTAACAAATAAAATATTTTATTGCTCAGCGTACAAAAAAATGATAGTCCAGATAGAAATTATGAATTCTACATTAAAATTAGAGTACATTAATATTAGGCTCTGCTTCTGCATTGTATGCAGTTTTGCTATTCATTTAGTAATCATTCTCCGGGCTTTCCTTTAAATCTTACACCTATTCCAATGAAAAAACAAATGAAATTATGTCAAAACTCCTGACTTTATACAAATTAGTTAAGAAAAACGAATACTTCTGACCAAGAAATAACTATGACATAAAATGTCCCATGTGTAATGTGCTCCTTTTGAGGCGAATCAGCTGACAAGACCTGAAAGTAAAATAAAGAAGACAAGTTCAACAATCATTTATATAAGAGAAAATAAAACATTTTTATAAGTGAAGTCATAAACAGCAAAGCCAAAACTGTTCATCACAACCAGTTACCAAATGGAATTAATATCATGTTGTATTTACTACTAGTCAAAATTAATCAACAATAAATAAATCTTTGCAGGGCTTTTCAATATTCTGCCGACCTAATGATGGATCATCAGCCACCTGTATGACACAGTTCTTTGTAATACTCACCCAGATAATCATCCATAAGAGATCCAATTGCGAACTAAAAAACAAGAGAAAAGCATTTTTTTTGTATTCAGTAAATCAACAATCACTTCATAACTTCTATAAATGAAAATCTGAGAAATAGTAAAAGAGAAAAGTAGTTGTGTTCGTATGGCAAGGAGAAGAAAACACATAAAACACTTACAATGTCGTTCTTGTCAACCCTTGTTCCAACAATCTTCAGCCGGATCTCATCATCTTGTTGGATTACAATGTCCTTGAAACAAAAAGAAGAACAACCTTCTTTATTGCAAGCCTCAGCAACAGTTAACAGGATAGCACCATAACTGCGAACAGCACCATCACTAATTCTTGCTTTTGTTCGACTCCTGATTACTTATGTTTTCTGAAAAAAACCTTAAACACAACTATTATTCAAATGAACTGAACTGTGACATGTACTTAGAAAAATGTTCGGCATTATTGTGATTTATTTTGTTTTAATCTCCAGCTGGTACCAAGAAATACAAATAAAAATGCTCACCTCATCAGTTGTTTTATAACAAGGAGGATTGGAGTTTGGGTCAAACTCCATTTCTGAGGGGATGGACTGCAAAAAACATAGTTTCTCATAAGATAAGGACAATATAAATCAAAAAAGGGTGAAAGCCAACCAGTGCGGTCCAAAACTATAGATGTTAAGATAACTCACATGGCGAGAGATAAAGCAGGACATGGGACCAATTTCTGTGAACAATCCAACCTGCAGGAAACAGAAAAATATAAATAACAAATAATCAATTTTATTATATTACAAATAAGCCAAAAATAAAATAATGTCTGTTGTCAGCTATTCATTAGTTAATATTCAACACATCAATCACTGCAAAAGCATCTATAAGTGCTCTAGAGAATTGAATGAACACGTTTAAAATACAGTTGTTGTACAATCATCTTTGTCAGTCATCTTTATATATAATATGATTTATATCCCAAAGTATCAAAGTTTAATTGATTTAATGTCAGCTTTACATGTCATCAACGGATAATGTTTCAGCTCAAGAAAAACTGCATAGTGGCCATAGTAGCACTGTGTTTTCCCTCACCTTGTTAACCTGAGTGACCACAGCATCTACCACCTCCCCTTTGAATGGGCGGAACACGATGGCCTTGTATTTGACGGGGTAGAGGACAAACCCTCTCCCCGGCTGGATTACACCAGCCCCGATGTTGTCGATGGTAGTAACTGCGATGACAAAGCCATACCTAGGGGAGAGAAATACTTAAATCAATGACATGTATACTGTATGTGCACTTGGGGAAAAAAAAGAAAAAATTGAAGGAGTTTTGTATACATGTTTAAACTGTTATGATGATCTCAAGAGCAAATACTGGTCCTGATTTGTTGCATTTGGCTGGTATCTCAGACTATCATTAGAATATTGTTATGACTTAATAGTTGATCCCCTATAAAGCAGATGGAAGTGATAATGTGTTTATTTCCGCCTCGTGCACTGAACACACGTACACATTAAAATGGCTGTTTTCGGTTGAACATAGAAGTCAAAACGTACAGTTGTTTATGGACCACAATTCAACATTACTTAATCAGCTCAGATCATCCTTAGAATATTGTTATGACTAAATATTTTATCCCTTATAAAGCAGATGGAAACGATCATTTTGTTTATGTTAGCTTCTTGCCCTGAAAGTGTTTATAAGTTCTCTGCACTGTCTTGTAGTGCAATACTATTTAGTAACATATTTTGCACACAATAAGTGGAATATGTATTATGTACCTGACATTTCAACTTTGCAGTCCAAATACAGATTCGGTGCCACTAAGCTAAGAACAAACTAAAAAGTGTTTTGAATGCATGATTAAGACTCGGAGGTACTCACTTGCCAGTGCAGGTTCCCTCCACTTCTGTAAAAAGCTTCTGCTTCACGGTGTTGAGGAGGTTAGGGCCAAAGTACCTCGGGTGTAGTAAGATTTCATGCTCCAAAGAAATCTGAAAACAAAAAACTTCCATAGGTAGTGTCGGTTGCATAATTTAATAGACATTGTACTGTATTAGATTGTTATAAAGGTGATCTTGCGGGTGCTGCCCTGGTTAATACAAGCAATAAAAGCCAATAGAAAACTTAGTGGTATTTATGCATAACTATAACATAACAACGTGTGCGGCAATGATGTGAATAAGTTGTGTTAAACTAAATGAGCTGGATGCTAAACAATGAGCTATTTACACATTCTAAACCAAACACCCTGCTATCGGTAGGCCCATACACGGAGAGTAATAAACATACTTACATGGTAAAACATGTTTGCGTTTACGCTCAAATCGTAGTCGGTTAATTTGTATTGTTTTGATAAATTATCCAACCCGTTTTCTACTTTATGAATGAAAATATGTCGCTCGTTTGCGACTTTGGTTATTTCCGGGTCACGGGGTCAGGAGTGTGATTTTGTTGCCCTGGGTTTTGTCTCTCAGAAAGCATACGCTCTGGTCTCTGAGTAAATAAATTCAGAGATCTTCCTTAATATTCGGATGAATAGAATATGCACTAATCTCAAAATGAGTTGGTCTGTGGGCTTTGTTGTCTTTAAACTGCAAAACACGCAGGTTGTTTGGTTTGTTTTTTGCAAATGTTTTTGGCTGCGTAAAACCCTGCCAGTCCTCTCCACACTGACCCCTGTCGGCGAGGAAGACACACAGCAGGAGGGCGGGTACACACAGCAGGCGCGACTGAATACGGGTTCATGATTGGTTTGTTTTGCAGGACCAATAACTTCTGACAAATCGAAGCAAAACAGAATCTTTTTTTGACAACACAACCACTGTCATGATCATATGATTCTGATACAACCCGCAACAGCTATTGCACAGGTGGCTGATATTTGGAAAGATTGATAAAAGACGGCCGGCGTCTCTCCTGCACTTTTCAGCCAGGCAACATGGCGAGTAACCTCGTCTGGAAGTTATGTCGTCCCCCTTTGTTTAGACAGCTGGTAAGTTGTCGAATAACCCTTTACTCTGCATGTATCATTATTTTGTGTATGACTAATGTAACTCCTGCCCTACGTCCAGGCCTCTCTTCGGTCTGGAGCTGAAATCCGACATTTCTCCAGCATCGATCCGCCACCGGAGAATATCAGTCGGTATCCAGTTCCTTACAAGAAAGACCTTCCTCATGATATAGTGGATCTTATGGAGGAAGTTGAGTCAAAGGTAGAAAAAACAACATTTAAAAAGACATAATACTGCACATGAACATGGTCCTATTCTGCTAAACCTCACGTTTCCTTCTCTGCAGGGAGGCTTTTTGCCAAATGTCTTTAAAGTCCTCTCTCATAGACCAGCAGAGTTCAGAGCCTTCTTCAGTTACTACAATGAACTAATGAACAAAGAGACAGGTTTGTTTGTGTGTCCGATCCCCACCAATCATAACAACTCATAAACATACAGTGGATGTCAACCCAGACAGCCACTGCCCATAACAATCAGGGAAGACTGTAGAGGGGAAGTATAGATCCACTCCTTTTTAAAACAGAAAAGGAGGTTGTTGCTAAAGTCTTGCCCCTGATTTGGTCTTGGTGATCTTTTCATTTTCTGAAATAAATAACTTTGAATTGGTGACTAAGGAATCATGTGGATCCTGAGGGTAGACCAATGCCTTATGGGCAGTGGCTGTCTGGGTTGAATGCATGAATCTTGAATTGGGGAAGTATAGATCCACTCCTTTTTAAAACAGAAAAGGAGGTTGTTGCTAAAGTCTTGCCCCTGATTTTGTTATCAAATGTGTTTAGACATATTTGCCTTCGAGCATTTATGCTTCACTTTACAATAGAAAACTATATTCTCAACCAGTACAACCCTAGGTGTGATTCGATCTTTTCCCCACCACCTCTACTAAACGGAACAATATAACATTCTTGTGCATGCCTGTGCAGGTGTTTTTGGCATTGTGGCCACTTCCTAAATATTTTAGACCGGTTTCAAGAGGAAGCTTGCTCATATATCTAAATAAGTTGTTGACTAAAACAAGCTCTGATGCTAAGTACTGTATGTTGTTGTTGTATGAATGTGTTATTGATTTCATGATTTTACATTAATGTTTTACCAATTGTCTTCCAGGCGGATTGACCAAGGCAGACCGTGAGCTGATTGTTGTCGCTACCAGTGTCCACAACAAGTGTCTTTACTGTGTGGTATCCCACAGTGCATTACATCGCATTTACTCTAAGAAGCCCACTCTTTCCGATCAGGTACAAATTTATTTTTACTATTTGCCTCTGCTTTGCGTGTTATAATACACAATTACTGCATACATGCATAAGGGTCGGCATTTAATTATTCAGAGCCAAGCAATGTTTTAATGGTTAAAATAGTTATAACATCACATCTCAAAGAAGTCTCTCCTTCCTGGTACAGGTGATTGTTAACTATGAGAATGCAGAGCTGTCTGCTCGGGAGCGGGCCATGCTGGACTTTGCGATGGCTGTGTGTCGCTGTGACACCATTACAGAGCAGCATTTCCAGTCTTTGGAGGAAGTGGGCTTTGACCGTGAGGATGCGTGGGACATTTCTGCCATCACTGCTTTCTTTGCCATGTCCAACCGTCTCGCCCACCTCACCGACATGAGGCCTAACTTAGAGTTTTATAACATGGGACGTATGCCAAGGGACAAGAACAAGGACAAAGGGAATGTAAAAGGAGAGTAGTGATACAGAAAGGATTCCAGATGTCAATGTATTATTTTATTTTGTTATTCTGTTTTTATGTAGATGACAAAAGAAGCATGAGAGACAGAATCTGAGTTTGTTGTGAACCTCCTTGTGTGTGTAGGTGTAGATGGGGGAGACATGGTTTTAATCAAATGATTACTGACCCTGACTTTTTGAATGTGTTGTGGCTCTGGCTGTTTCTCGATCACTTGCCATATTGTAGGTAAAAGTGAATCTTTTGCAGCAAGTTGGTCATTACATGAATCATTTGAACCAATTTCACAGTTGTCTTTCATTTAGTTTATGTCATAAAACCTAAAACAATCACATGTCAGAATCTCATGCCAGCTCTTAATTTCCTTGTTCACTTAAAATAGCTCTGTGCTAGGATGTGTTGCACATTGCATTGTTACCGTCACTATCAATAGGAGTTTGAATACGTAGCATTGTTCAAAGCAATGGAAGCTTGTGTTTTAAAGTATCTATAGGCCTTTCATATTCTAAATAAACTATTTTGTTAATAATATGTAAGATTTGAAATTGATTTTCTGACTTGGTCTCCTTCTTTTGGGTTTTGTAATACATCAGGAAAGTCAGTGGTGGGACAGTAAAAATGCAGTTATCACATAATATTGGTGAAGTATGTTGTAACACCAGCAGATGGCACCACATCTTTGCCTTTATCAGAATGGCTTGAATTGACACTTTATATATTAATGTGATCTTTTAGTTCATACAAACAGCACATGTTTAACATTAGCCAACACCATCTGAAATGGAGAAAAACTATTTTTATTAGAGAACTGATTTGGATTAGGATAATCATGATGGGTGCAAATCTCGTCTCGTCGGTGCATTTCTAGTTTATTTCACTGTAAATGTCATGAATAATTTTCCCTGATCTAATTTCTGTGTTACACAACATTCTCTCCCAAAGTTTATTTTCTGGCAACCTACTTTAATGCTGACGTCCCCATGCTGTCTACATCTACACTGATACGAGTCAAACATGACTCCCGGCGGCACCAGAAGATTGACTTTGTTGTGCATATGTGAGTGAAGTTAAAGTTACAAACTCTAAATTGCAATAGGAGCAATAATTAAAGTTGTCTTTTTTTGTAAGTATTTGAAAACTACATCCCTCTCTTTGATATTTAGGACAAACTCAAACACTGTGAACAAAGATGTGATGAACGACAGTTCCTAAGCATGAATGATATATCTGAATAAACTTGTTGAGTCACAATATGAAAGTCAGCCTACCTTAAAATTGCAAGGGGCTTTTCACTATTTTTGGATTCCTGTGAACGAGCAAGAGACACATTGTTAAATCATCTGAAAGCTAATCTATTGATGTTTGTTTAAATCATTTCGCTGATAGCTTCCTCCGTGTGCTTTTCATGACCTGTCGTTATAGCTTGGATTAAGTGTCATACGTCTCAGGAAGTGCTCATGCATTATTACACCTCATCATTTGGCACCAACCCTCCTGACCCCATGTCTCCTTTTAGTGTGGGTGGAACTTTCTGTAAAATAAAGAGCAGTAGCAACGCTCCATGAATTAACAGCAATTTTGGGCAATTTTCCTACAAATGTCCATATGTCATAGCATCCCAATGCAGTAAAAATGACCCAGAAATCTGGATCTATTATTAATATATATCCGATCCAAGATTAAAATCAAGTTATTGTCGGCTGATAAGCACTACAAGTGGACTGAATGCTTTGACACATGCATTTTTTGAATTGTGTATCTCTCATCTTTTTGTGTCTGTGCACAGCCTCCAGACTTCCTGCAGTGAGAGTCAACCCACTTAGCTCGAGGAAAGATAGGAAGGTGGGGGGGGGGGGTCTTTGTATGCCTCTGCTGGGTGTTCAGAGCAGACTTCAGACTAAGAGTTGTTTGACAACTTTTCCATTCTGTCACACTTGCAAAGGAGAGAAGCCTGAGTGGGCAGTCAAAGTGAAGAACATTATTTCATAAAAGATATTGAGGGATTCTCTGCCCCTATTCGAACTTTTCTCTTTTTTTGTAGTGGTCAAACTCTTCCTGTATCCTCAAATTTAAAGCCAACAAAAGACCCCCACCACGTCTTGAGCTGGATGTGAGGGCACAAGCTTGGAAACAGTTGATGTGGTGTAAGCAGGAATTAAGTATTAAGAAGCTATCTGTGCAGGGGATATTTTAATGGCAAGCATGGACATTAGTTCACATACATCTTTTACTATTTAAGAAAAAGCTGCTGCAATAAAATAAAAACAATAGTGACAATAATGAGCATCAGATATTAGGTTATCTTTTCGTTTAACTGATATGCTCTTTTTAAACACAGGGGATGCACTCGCCCTCTGTGACTCATTGAAGAGAATGCAGACGGGCTTGCGACTGAAATCTAACCAAGCGAGCACATATGGGACATTAGCAGATGGACAGACACAAGGATGAGGCCATTATCTTCTGTGTTAAGAATGTGTCAGTTTATGTTAGGAGTGTCGGAGCATGCATGTGTATACGTCTGTGAATGCACATTGTTTCGTTAATGTTTGTGTATCCATTTACGTACAGCAAAGTGTGTGCGTGTGTGTGTGTGTGTGTGTGTGTGTGTGTGTGTGTGTGTGTGTGTGTGTGTGTGTGTGTGTGTGTGTGTGTGTGTGTGTGTGTGTGTGTGTGTGTGTGTTGAATATGTTCTGTGAGCATTTGGAGCTGGGGTCATTTGCATTAATTTAAAGTGAGCAGCTACTTTTCCCTTTGCTGGGATTCAAATCCCTATAGACTCTACATCAAGGATAGAACATGCAGTCAGAACACAGCTGTGACACGAAAGGACGGAGACAACACATCTTTGAAAATAGGTTAAATAATACATGTCAGATTTTTGAGTCAGGGCCTCTGTTTGGAGCTGCCATTTTGTTAGACTGATATCCTTAATACACCAGAGTGTAATGGGAAATACATTTCATAGGTTGCACTTTTCTTTGAAGAGTCTACTCCATATCTGTGAGACTAAGGCACATTGATGCTAACGTTACAATGTTAAGATGTTTACAATAAGTAGTGCTAAAATGCCCATGTTTAGTAAGTATGTTACCAAGTTCACCATTTTTTTGCCCGTTAGCATTCTTATATGAGCTAATTAGCACCGAGAAAAATAGCAAAAAGTTATGGAAACTGCTGCAACCAATATTATCCAGCTGAGGCTGAAAAAAAGCAGTACTTAGACACCGCTTCTCCACATGGCCAAAGCTCTCTCGTGACCTCTCAATCAACCAGTTTGAGAAGTGTTTCAGATTACACTGTGCAGACTGATAATCCAAATGGACATTTGCTCAGATTACTTTATGCTTGCGGATTATTGGTCATGCATCATATTTGCTGCTGGAAGAGAGAGTGAGATTCATGCTTGTGATGTTTTTTGTTTGTTTGTGCATCCTAGCTTGCTTTCTATTGGGTATTTAGGGCACACACATTTGTATGCTTCTTTGTTTTTTTGCATTTATGGCTGTCTGTACCCATACAGGTGCTGTAGGTTTCAGTTCTATTTTTAAGAAAATGACAAATTACGATGAAAGCGCTGTCAAGGCAGCCATCAAAAAGTGTGACCTATGACTGTCCTCTGCGGTCTGAAACTAAAGGCTTCAATAAAAGATCCAATATTGTCTAATCACTATGATGTGTTTAGTTTTGTCCTTGCCAGTTTACGTTTAAAAGGCTTCATCTGCTTTATTGTTTCTCTCTTCAGAACGTATTCAGATCTATCTATGTGAATCTAAGAACTGTAATAACTATTTCAGTAGTCTGCTTGCTCTGCGGTTGTCCTTGAAATTTGGCAATATCATGACTTGGCCGACTATATGATGCCAATGCTCGCTGTACTAATTTGTTTGTGTGTGCCATGAATATTATTATCATTTGACTCATTTAATTAATGACACATCTTTCTTTTTTTTACTAGTGAAATTACTCGTCTCACATGCAAAATGAATGTTTTGGTTCCAGCCTGCAGCGCCAAATAAACACTTCCTCCGGCCCCTAGAGGTGTGTAAGGCTCCGCTCCGTAAGAACAAACATGAGAAAGTGAGAGGAGAGGAGAGTGATGGATGACAGGACTCCCTGCCCAGCCAACCCTGCTGCTCTCTCATTTGGTGATGCGTCACATTAGCATTCAGGCTGTCGCTTTTTCCAACCCAATGAAATGAATCACAGCTTATTACACTAATGAAAGTGTCACAACAACATTGATCAAATATTGCCTTAATGAATCAATGAAACAAAAAAGCACAACATGTACACAGAAATAAAGAAAATAATTTTTAAAAAAAGAGAAGAGAACATGAGAGGACAGTATCAGACCAATGACTTCACAACAAGTTGATACAAATGAAAACAACAAAGTACGTTGTTTGTAACTGAAAGGCCCGTTAGAAAGACACAGGCATTTCCCGATCCAATGCCCCTGGTATTAGTTCTAGATCAGCTGCCATTTCTAAAACTGTTACAAAAAACTATGGTTAAGGCTGGATGAGGTTAATTAAGAAGAAGTGTTTATTACGGGTTTGGGAACGATAATAAAGTCTCCTGGTAAAATGAAATGTTTTTTAACCTATCCATCCTACACCCTACACTAACTCTGTTGTTCTATAATATCATTACCTCAATACCTCCTTTGCTGAGGCTGGATGATAATTACCTTGCTTTTTGGGGCAATCATTCACGGCAATCCTTCAGAAATATAAAATCAATTACAAATTCACACCGATCAACATCAGTCCAAACCAAAGAGGTAGATCAACAATCCTAAAAAACGTACCGACTGACATTGTCATCCATGATCCTCACCTCTAGCATGGCTAAAAGTAAAGCATACAAATTAACGGCAAGACAGCCGAATTTAATTAGAGCATAAACTGATCTTACTAATAACCAAGGAACTGTTAGGAATTTGGCAATGTGTGAAGGTGAGTTGTTTCCCCAGCTCTAACACCCTAGGGAATTGTGGGATTGATTGGGACTGGAAAAATGTGAAGAGGCAGCAGGGGAGGAAGTAAAGTCTCCAGAGGGGGGAATCGAGTCACTTTGCTCTCATAACTAATACTGCTGGGCCAGCAGTTCAGCGGGCAGAGGTCATTGCCATATCGGATGCTAATAAGGTTGAGCTTCAACCAATAACTTTTTCATGACTTTCATTACTTCCCTTCCCTTTTTTTGACTTGTTCATGGTTTGTATTTCAATAAATGTCCTGCAACATATCACCTATAGGGGCATTATTAACCATCACATATTAGATTTAAATCTGCATTCCTAGAAAAATAAATTAAAAAGTGTTTCCATATTGGTTCATAACTTTTTGATTCCCCGCTAAGTATACATCAGCTGCATGCTGAGCTCAGCAGTCTGACCGTTTGACACTCAGTGAACATGCAATCTGGTCTCGCTCAGGCCCCCGCCATGCACAGTGTGTGAACGCGTTTATGTTGATGGTGTAAATGCATATTTGTGTTTTTTTGTGTGTGCCACACAGTCTTGCACTTTGAAACTTTTACACTTAGGCTCTGTATGATTGAGTTTACATCGCTAGCCTGACATGAAACAACGACAGCAAACACTACGACAACACTTGCTGTCATCTCAGATGCAACAGTCAGGCAGCTGAGCAGTTCTTTCTCACGGGGGGGGGTTTGCTATGTATATCAGTAGTGTTGATGAGATTAGGGAACATACAGTACATCTGTTCTCAAGACTGTAATCTAATTTTCACAATGTAAGAGATAAGAGATAAGATAAGACATGTAAAACATAAATACCAACAAATACTTCGCTGTTATTTGTCTACATTCACAGGTCTTGCAGGACCTCAACCTGGCTGAATGTGTGAATTGTGTTTTAGTTCTGTGTTTACTGTGTTGCTGTTGTGCTCTGATCCCTGATGTAATTATTATGAGTTGCACAGGGAAAACAGGTTTCTAATTAAACTGAGTATAATGTGGTGAGTGACAGCTGTTATAAATTCCCCAAACTCTTTAATTATTTACCAGAGGAAAACGGATTTGGATCAGATATTTTGTGTGTGACAAACACTATTGTGCTCAGATTCGCTTGAGTCATCCAAATCCAATGTAGTTAATCTATCATCATCCCTAACACAAAACACACATTAAAGAAAAACATCACGGGAGAGAGGGGATCACTTTTAACACAGTACATAGAGAAGATTCACTTTTAACACAGTACATAAGAAGCTTCCTCTTCCAGCACACACAAACACACACCCACCCACACACACACACACACACACACACACACACACACACACACACACACACACACACACACGCACACACAGTGCAGCTGCCCCCAGTCGTCTGGTAAGGGACAGGCAGAGCTTACAAAGAGTTTCCAAATGATTAGAGCATAATGAACATATGGACAAGGTCACTCTTAACGGCATTACAAAATCCCCCTTTTTTGTATCATTAACCTATACTCTAGCCTTGGATTGTATGTATCCCAAGTTATGTAATATTCCTTATGTTTGGCCTACTGGTTGGTTGATATCCTTAAGTCAAATCTGAATTTAACATCTTGCCAAGGACAACAGTTGAAAATTAGCCTGCTGGCTAATACTGGCTCATTTACAGCAATGTGAATTAATGTGCACTGTCCTTTAAATAAATAAATAAACAAACAAAGAATGCATATCCCTGCCCATGAGCTGCTGTCTGAAAACTCCCCAGTCATGGACAGTTTCCCTCACTTTTATTTCCATGGCCCTTTTAATAAATTAATAGATTATTGACGGTGCAGGAAGCATAACTCTACTTATTACACACAAACACACACTTCGATCAGATTGACTATTGTTATGGTATCTTTGAGTCTCATTTAATATTTTCCAAGATGAAGAAATTCCACAATTCAATCTTCATGACTTGCTCAGTGTAATTGTATCTCAGATATGTTTTTGCCTTTCCAGCACGCACACCCTTAGCAAGCAGACACTTAAGTTTACTAATGTTTTTACATTTTTTTCTTAAAATGTAAGTTCAGCAGATGTACATATTTCTATCAGTCTGCGGTCTCAATAAAAATAAAACTGGAAATCTCTTAATTGAGTAAACGTACCAACAGTTCCACCTCAAATGTGGGTTCTGCGTCATGAATTGGAGTTCACTCAGAAAACATCAAACAAAGTTGAGAGGCAGCCTTTGTTGGCAACACAAATAAGAAATCAGATACTTCCTAGAACAGAAGGAGAACATGCCCTACATTCTATGTCTTGCATGCTTTTTTGGTGTATTTCATTCTTAGATTTCCATTGATCTCCTTTCTAATCAATTTTAACCCCAGATGATAGACTTGGTTCTACAATTTAAGAAAACCAGAGATTAAGTTAATTAGAGGGAATTATCACATTATATTTGACTCAGAACTTTTAATGTTTTTGAACTCCTATCAAAATATGCACATCCCGTCTAATCGACAACATGGTAAATTATCACAGTTATGAAAGCTTGAGATTTAGTGCGGTCTGTGACAAAAACACCAGGCACTTTTATGTCTCATTAGTCTTAATAATCAGTGATGGCGCTGATGGTGACATTGTTTCTGAGGCTCTTTATAGAAAGCATTCTTATGCCATTATGCAACTGTTTCACAACCAGTTAAATGGCTCATTCCCATTTTATTCTGCATTATCTTGATTAATTTTGCACTTCAGCCATCTGGCCAATCTGCTGTCTCACAATTTGGCAGCTTGCAGTACAGCGGCATGCACTCTGATTTAACTTGAAACTTGTGGATGGAGTTTGGAGACTTGAAAGTATTAGCTGGTTTTCTGCTTCTAAAGCTAAGCAAATGTGGTTGATTTCTTCAACCCTGCAGCTGTAGCAATCCAAGAGGAGGTTTCAGCTCCTATAGCAGGGGTATTCAACTAAAATTCAGCGAGGTCCAGTTAGAGAAAATCTCCCCATTCAAAGGCCCGGAACATCAAAATGTCTAACTTGCTTTATGAATTAGTGTGATATATATTGAAGTAGCCTTTAGCTTTATCAACGTCTGTATGTAATCAACAACTGACTGCCAATCAAATAAAGAAAGTACAATTAAAAAACAACTATTTATTGTCAATTAACATTGAACTATACAGATATACAGTAAATACTGTGGATATGTGTAATGTTCCTCTCGGGCTGCATTTAAAAATAAAATAGAGAAAATAAATAAAATAGAAAATGTGTGCATCTTAAAAAAAAAAAAATGTAATCCTACAAAAAATAAGCAGTCTCAGAGCCCAATATTATTGGTCTCTGAACAAATGACACACACTGGTTCTGTGCTCCCAGTGGGCAGGATGAACATGAACGAGTCCGTCCACTCAGGGTTAAAAGCTCTGTTCTCACTGTCCACTTTAATCTTCTTGGAGAGCGCCATGTGTCATTATGTGTCTCTCCCTGTCTGCCGCTAACACGCCTATTCACTCTCCTCTCCGCTTCTCTCCCTGTATCGCTAATTATTCTCTTCAATCACTTTCCTCTCCGCTTCTCTCTGCCGCTCACTCGTCTCTTCTTCTGTGTTTCTCTCCCTGTATCGCTCACTCGTCTCTTTCGCCCCATTTCGGCGGCGTTTAAAATAGAATCACCCCGTCAAAATTGAAATCCCCTATTAATGTATTGATTACAGGTCCGGGTCCGTATAGGTCGGCGTCTGGGATCCGGACCGCGGTCCGCCTGTTGCCGATCCCTGGACCTATAGTGTTCGAGATAATGCAATGAATGCTACATCACACAACACGCTGCAATACTCTCCTGAATATGTCCCCACAGAACTATCCAGAGCCTGATGTACAGAGAATAAATATACTTTTATTATTATAGAGAGCAAAGAAACTCACACTTGTAATGACAGTAAAAGAGATAAAGACACCAATGAATGTTCCTATAACAAAGAGGTGGTACCAAACACGTTAACAACTTTGTGTGAATTAGTCACTCGGCTCCCTCTACAAAACACGAACAAACACTATAGGGCCTTTTACAAATCTACAGTATATTCTCCAGTGATAAGGTGGTGGATGTGGTTCTGAAGTTTTCTCTTCCTATAGAGCCATTGTCTCTGGTGTCAGTGGTTCAAAAGTCACATTGCTCTTTATCTTCATTGACACTTTGTACAGTGAAGTCCAACAACATACATGAATATGGGTATTTTTTCAGCAGTAATACTACTTTACTTGACCACTTTTATATTGTTAAATGATTGAAGTCTGTGTAGTTAAAGACCATTTTGCTAAAAGATTTACTGTTGTCTTACTGGTCAACACCAGTAGGCTACATACCAGTCCACACAGTGCTTTTTTTATACAATGTATTGAATATTGTATCATATCACTGTTCCAAACTGTTCTCATGTTACATATTATATTGTCTTAAATTAAACAGGCAAGACAAAGTTATCCTTAATATGCAGTTCTACTCTGACGTATAAAGAAAATGCCTTTACACTTGTGTAAAAGCAATAAGGTTGATTTCTGTTGTCAAAGTGAACGCAATAACAATACAATTCAAAGTGAAACATCTCGTTTTAATATCTAACCTAATATTATTACAGGGATGATACTTCATAAGAAAAAGTCTGATTCTCTTTTGAAGGTGAACAGTTGGTGTATGATCTTGTACATACAGGACAAAGATACAAATAAACAAGATAAGAGGCAGTGAGGAGGACTGGGGTGCTGAATGAGTCACTGTACAGTCAATCAAGAAGTTGTTTAAAATAAGTGCAGATAAAATAATGGTATTAACAGTGTTTTCAGGGTACAACATTATTGCAACATTATCTTCCACTCATTGAAATGTCAAAAATAAAAATATATACAGTGTCCTCCCCTACCGCCCCGGTGATTACCAACCTTTTAGCTCAAGTCACTCCAGGTTTGTTGTTGAGTCTGCATGCAACACCTATTTCATTCTATACATATGAACAACCTGTGTGGGACAATGCATTATGCTTATCTTCTTCATTTAGAAGTGCGAGTAAAACATTATGGTTCCTCTCTGTGATTATTTATTGATCAATCATGACTATTTTGTTTCCTGATTTTGTCAATTTTACTTTCTTGAGCTTCTTCCGTACATATTTTTTTATCATAAAACACTGCCTGGCCCCAGCTCCTTTCCAATGGGGAACCCTGACTGTAGGTATGGGACCACAAACTGCACCCTTCATTGTATCCTTCCCCTTTCTTTCTTAATATTTTCTTCAACCCTAATCTTTGCTGTCTTCCCACTCTCCACTGCTGCTTCAACCAGCTATGTGAAGTCCTTGGAAACTGCCTCTATGAAATTGGGTGCTGCCATGAGGATGGTGAAGGTGCAAATGATGGAGAAGAGAGAAAAAGCCACCAGACACAGCCGGTCCACCACCGCCGCTGCAAACTTCCACTCGCCACAGATGACCTCGGCCTTGTCCTGTTCCCGAAAGCGCTGGGCTATGTACGACACCTCATCTAAGATGCGCTGGATCTCTGGAGGGGGCATGCTGACTCCCATCCCAGGTCCAACTCCCATCCCCAGGCCTCCAACACCACTGCCAACTCCCCCAGATGACTCAGCCTCATCACCAGGGGAGCCATGGGCACGGCCCCCTAGTGCTACCCCAGAGTCGCTGGAAGGCGGGCATTGTGGGCTCTCTACGGAGTGGTAATTGCCAAAGTAGAGGCTCATTGAACCGTTGGAGGTGCCGGTGGGACAAGGTGGGCAAGATGTCTGTGAGAGGGGCATATTTAGGTTTGGTAAAGTGCCCATCTCTATGGAGCTGGTGCTGGAGTGGTGCTGGGAGTTGGGACTTTGCTTGTAACCTGCCCGCTTACGCTCATCGCCGGGTTGTTTCATACGCAGAAACCAGGCACACCAGTTCAGCAGAACCACCCGAACCTGAAAGGAGGGAGGGAGCGTCAGTGGCGCAAAACCAAACGATAACACACTCATCTAAACATAAGCCTTTGTGCTGAATGTTTCAAACGGATTCAACCAGTTTAGGCTACTCACCCACTTGGGCATCTTGGCTCCTCGAGGATCATGATGGTGGAACTGCAGGACTATAACTGTCACCACCACAGACATCCCCACTATCATCATGGTGCTGGCAAAGTACTGGGCTGGCAAGTGTACACAAAAAACGAAATACTTTACATTTTGCTCACAGATACCAATAAGTCCATGCCCCACTACCATGGTTACATTTAATGAACATCTACTAATAGGTAGAACATTATCCTTTAATTATTTCCAAAAATAGGTTAATTTCACACTCCAACATCAAAGGAAAGCAAGTCTGATCAATTTGTGCAAGAAGTTATAGTGCCAAGGGGAAAATATGCACACTTAAACTGAAATGGAGAACATTTGCAAAAAGTTTGACAAAACAGAAAATAGGGTTAAACAAAGACACTAAAACAATATAATTAGAGAAGGGAGAGAGAGAGAGCTTAATGTTGGTTCGGGAGGGATGTTTTTCACCAGTTGAAGAGGACACATGCACGCACGCACGCACATAGACGCTGGTGAATGTGAATTAAAAAGAGCTAACGGCTAAACAGGACTACAGCTACTGCAAAGCCTGCAAACTAAGGATCATAAAGGTTCAAATGAAGAAGAAGATGATAAAATAGTGGGGAAAGAGAAGAAACACTGAAGAAGACACAGCATTATAGAACATAGTATTAAAGGTCCCATTCCTTTTTTTCCCTTCTGGTTATAACCCGTCCCCTTGTGTGTTATGAAGGTTTTTCTGCATGTAAACGGTCTGCAGAGTCACAAACCCTCAAAGTTGTCCTTACTGGTGTCATTTTCTGGTTGCAAACGCCATTGTAACACATAATCACTGATGTTCCGCTGTAACGGTGGTGGACTCATCAGAACAGAGTGAGCGAGCTGACCAATCAGAGCACAGTGGGCTCATAGGGAGGGGGGGGCAGGAGCTCCAACAAGCCGTTTAGGACAGAGAGTGAATACACATACTATACAGAGATGCTGTATGAGAAACCAATGTGATTTTGGAACATTGAACAATGTAAATCTATTCTAGTAGACCNTGTGAAAAATCAGCAGGTGAACTGTATCAACTCATACTTGTTTTGGAGTAACTCAGTTCTGTATTAAGGCACAACACTTTCCTCTTTAAAAAAAAAGAAGAGAAAAGTGACTGCCTGTTTGTTACCTTACATTTGAATGNGGGGGCAGGAGCTCCAACAAGCCGTTTAGGACAGAGAGTGAATACACATACTATACAGAGATGCTGTATGAGAAACCAATGTGATTTTGGAACATTGAACAATGTAAATCTATTCTAGTAGACCTCAACAATAGAATTATGATCAGTAGAAATGGCCATGTCATGGGACCCTTTAAAGGACGTGTTCATGAGAAGCGGAAGGACTGAATGACTAAATGACTTTGTTATATATATATATGATTTATAATAATTCAACAAATAACCTTTAGTTACAAATGGCATTGGTGATTGTGGCTGAACTAAATAAGTCAAAAATGAATAAAAACTGAACAGAATTAAAAACGAACTAAGCCAAACGGTCTTAAAACAGATAAAACATGTCTGACTAAATTAACTAAAATGAAATGAACTCATATCCTTATCTAGTGATTAAAGACTGATGATAAAAGACATATGGCCTGATATAAGCAGCAGTGTTGAACACTTTCTTTATATATTCACGGTCAAGCTCAAGCAGCTACAATAACTCAAATCCGGATTTGGCCACTGTGTTGTAAAGGGGTATGAGTAATTCCAACATGTCTGCTTAAAGTGTCCCAGTTGGCCTTGTGTTGAGGTCGAGGGAATTAAGGAGCACAGACTATTCAATCGATGAAGCATTTATCAAGCCTTTTCTGAGCGAGGGAACTTATCAGCGCATTGATGTAGTGGTGACCCTGTCCAGTATGGACAAACATTAATCTCATCAATACCCTCACATCATGTACAGTTGATATGTACAATATATTTTAAATTGACCAGGTGAAACTGATATGACACGTACATACAGCACTGCAGTTATAAATCAAAGCATGTTAACACACATTCTCTCATACACACACGACACAAAAAATAGATGTCTGCCTCTTCAAGCCTTTTGTTTTGGTCAACTTTAACCCCAAACGTTACTTATCTCCCTAGACGGTCCATATGTCTTCCTCTATCCAGCTATCCCCTAGTCTATTAGTGTGGCTGACAGCTTTAGTTCTTACTCCACACACCCCCCAAGGGCTCTGTGAACCATGTATCCAGGTAAACAAACACCAGGGATATCTTTGGTGAGGTATAATGCATCTGTTAGAAAAAATGTAAGGAATGGAAATTATTACTTCCTTCTGAAGTGTATCACTTATTCTGGGTGATAATGCATTCATGCACGCTTAAGTATATTACATGTAGACACATAATTATACACATAAATATAACCCACCGATGAGAGGAACAGAGTCGGACGTTGCAGGCATGATCTCTGCTACCAGAAGCATGAAGACAGTTAGCGAAAGGAGCACAGTGATGCCTTAAGACGGAGAGAAAAAGAGAACATGAGCATAATGATGTGATCAGGATCACTGGTGTATGAAATTGTGTAATAACGTATACATGTAATCAATTATGGTCCCATGACTACAACCATTTATCAACTGCCGACTGTTCTGACGTGTCCAAGGTGAGTTACAGCTCCAGAAATCCCTCAAACTTTGTAACAGGCTACTGCTCCTTTCGATGGGGTATTCATCAACATTGGATTTAAGGCAAGCCTCTTATTTTAAAGTTATTCCATGGTTGTTTGACATGTATGTATTCATGTTTCGCTATGTGATTCATGAAGATGCAAGCACACATAGGCTGGTGTGCCTTAATAGATGTATGTATTGGTGTACAGCTGTGAATGCATTTGTATATGCTTGAACACTTTCAAACACACTTGGGGATTGAAAACTATATTGCTTTACTATTATTTAAATAATAAATGCAGAGTACTAAAATACCGAACAAACATCTTTCTATCTTGCTCACATAGATCAATGACACATTGTTTAACTGTTTTGCAAAGCAAGGTATTTTCATGTAAACAACAAGTGTGCTTAAGCCCCTCTCACCCAGAGAAATCTTTTCTCCAGAGTCTGCAGGTAGCAGGAAGACCAGCATGGCCAAGCCAGAGAGCAGCACACATGGGATGAGCAAGTTAAGTCCATAATATAACGTCCTGCGGCGCATAGTGACTGTGAATGTCACATCAGGGTAGGGCTCCTTACAGCATTCATAGTACAGCTCATTGCGCTTGGCTGGAACACCTAAGGGAGGAGTAAACGCATATAAGCAAGTTATTTGTGAACTAATAAAGTGATTGAATGTGTAAATAGCCTATATAATTCATGTAAACAACATAGAAGGAAATACAACGAATGACGAGTGGCAATGATAAGTAACTAAGTGACAGGCTTGGAACTTTGCTCTGCATTTATCCTATGTTTGTATTTTAATTAAAATGTTTAGCAAGCCACCGAATGGTTTAACTATCTCACCTTGAACTTTAACTGTGTTGCTCTCACATATGGAACGGCTACACACCTGCCAACATGTCAAACATTCCTATTGCATGCCATCTGGTGCTGTCTGACACCAATTTCCAGCTAACCGTCACCCCGGGGGCACAGGCACTGGGATCTGCTGCTGCTCGGTCCCAGCTGGAAACGTCCTGCTCGGTAGGTCTTCCAACAACTCTACCCTTTCCAATTCATTAAGCTACAACTCATCCAATTGATGTCTCTCCAGAATTTTTCTTAAATAACAGATCTTGGACAGAGGAAGTCAGCAAGCCCTGACCCCGGTGAATAAGGGGGAGCACATAACAATTTCCTCTATAGCGTTTACAGCATTGTCTTAGTCATTTCAGTTAGAATATTTCAACTTTGTTAAAAGCATTTCCTAACATTTGGTCTACCTATGCTGTAAAATGTATTATCTCTTCGATTTACACACGGCAGCTATTGCACGTCTGTCCATCCTGGGAGAGGGATCCCTCCTCTGTTGCTCTCCCCTGAGGTTTATCCCATTTTTTTTTCAGCTTGCGCTGCTGGCTTCCTCCAAGTTTACAGTAAAACAAACTGGTGGTGTGACCAATGGCCATTTACAATTATTAATACTATTACTATTATTAGCATTAGTCTATATTTTGGTTGAAACTAAGCCAGGAAAAAAAAGAAAAACATAAATAATAATAAAAAAATATATAAATAAAATCGAATTTTCAAAATAATATTCGATTATGGAGACTGTAACGAATATTCGAATAATCGAATAATCACTGGCATCCCTAGTTAAAATGTAATGGTCCACTTCAATTTCATCTAAAAAAGTATCTTAGGTTCAAAAGTATCTTAAGTATACATTCATATATTTTTCATTATATGACTAACAATGACTCTCTTTAAGCAATACATTATACTAGCTTTTCTTTCTTAGTGAATGACGAAATGAATGACCTCCATATTTCCTTCACCAACATAAGAGAGAACGTTTGTATTTAATAAGGAAACATGTTCCCCTTCTGTTTCATAACTAATCAACAACATCATTATTTTGAAATCCCAGAAAACTGACATCAATCTCTTCAACAAACCTCAGTGAGCATCATGGGACGTAGCGGCATTTCCACAAATACGCAAAACATGTGTGGAACGTACGAATCGGGTAAACTAACATTATTTGTGAGCAACTGCTGCGAGCGATGGAGCGCTGCAGGCTGAAGACATCGGACCAGACACCAGACGGATGGTTTATCATGCAAAAGGAAATTGGGTAGCGTGAGTAACAGAACATTTGAACATCTGCTCGGTGACCCACCTTACAAGATGTTTCTGCCCCGTTTTGCAGCTCCAGTTCTTCAGAGTGCAGCTCACAGTAAAACCTCCCTGAGGGGAATCAGACAGAAACAATGAAGGGGTGGAAAAGTCACACAACTGAATGTTGACGTGTCAAAGAAGGGGAAGTAAAAGGCGCCTGCTGTTTTGATAAATGATTAATGTCCTTTTAGTCTAAATGGAGCCACTTTAAAAATGGTCTTAGTGCAAATTATTAATTACAATTATGAATTAATAAAAAGGCAGTGCTTTACTTATTGTTGAGAACACACATGATACAAGTGGAGCAATAGCTGTTGAAACCCTTACTTTAACTGACGCTTTTATCCAACAATAGTTGCATTCAACCATGAAGAAACAAACTCCAAAATGGTGTGAGGACCCGTGAAACCAGAACTACAAAAGTCACGTACTGTAACTGTGACGAAAAGTCTAAATATTGCAGCATACATGGACAGAAACTTGAAGAGATACCAACAATATATTAATAGTTGTTGGTGTTGCATTAGAACTGTACACACATGACAATCTTCCTTTTATAATTCTGACAAAAGAGGACATTAAAGGGGCCCTTTTCTGCCCTTTGGGGTTTCCCTTCCCTGTAGTCGTGTGTTATTCAGGGTTTTCTGCATTTAAATGATCTGTAAAGGCTACAATCCCAACGTTCCCTCCAGAGGAAGTTTCTCCCCCCCCCCCTGCCTGTAATGCCTCCACTGGACTCCTTTGTTTACTTACATATCATAATGACATCACTATGTAACACTCGAGCTTCTATTGACCAGCTCTCCAACACATTGTACGTGATAGGCTAAGGGGCGGGACATCTCTTAACGGTTGACCAATCACAACAGAGCTGACCAGCTAACCAATCAGAGCAGACTGGGCTCTGGTTTCAGACAGAGGGTGAAAAGAGGTGCTGCAGAGCAGGCAGTGTGAGAAGAATAAAGAGCTTTTTGAACATTAAAGAGTGGAGACATGTCCCAGTAGAGACACTACATACAAATATGAACCTGAAAACGAGCAGCATATGTCCTCTTTAAGTGCTCACCTGTAGTCTGATCAAAGGTGTATCCTCCCAGTCTGAGTGTGATGCTGCAGCGATGGCAGGTGAAGCAGCTTCGATGGAAGAACTTTCCCTCAGCGCTGACCCTCTCCAGCACGTAGACCCTCTGTCCACAGAAGTAACACTCATCACTGTTTGTCAACGACACACAAGCATCAGGCTCAGGCTCAAGCTCAGGCTCAGGAGCAGGGATAGGTGAAGGAGTGCGCTCAGGGGACACCGGCAGCACCACCGTCTGGGGGGAAAAGGGCGGATCAAATCACTCAATTGCCCCCAAAAAAGTAAGAAGGATTATTACAAAAAGCTTCCATCACAACTCACACTGTCCTCCTCTTCCATTGTGGTCTCTCTTTCTTTCTTCAAAGATGCCAGCTTTTCCTGCAGAGGAAAGAAGAAATATTAACATCACATGATTACGTGGAGAACGTTCACACCATTTTAATGATTAAAAAAAAAGAACCCACGTCTCTTGGAAAACATCTAATAATGTTGCCCTGAAATGACAGATGTGAGTCACAGACAGGCAGGAGGCCCAGACGTGAACTCCAGCCAAGCACACCAGTGCGTTTGAAAATATCTTTATCAAACATTTCTCGGTGCTGTGTAAACAGTGACGGTCACAGCGGGCGTACCTTGCGTCTTTGCAGAGAGTTATGCTTCAGCTTGTTCAGGAAGAAGACAGCGGACTGTGTCGTGGAGAGACTCAGAGGCTTGGCCGGCGAGGGGAAGGCTGCAGGGTCTGGAGCACAACACAAAATGAAAAGAGAGAAACATGTTATTGAGACACCTGATTTGGCCTAGTACTTGCACAGCTTGAAATATCCTAATTCTACCTTTTTGTGATCTACAAGGTACGTCCTTTTATCTGTAATACTCTGTTGGAAACATCCTCCTACTTGTATTCTCTGTAGCGCCACAGCAGATGCATTTAACTTGTCAATCCGCATAAAAAACTATTCAGCTGCTGCTCTCACTTCTACCACTCCCATGCTTTCATCATTCAGCTGAGGTTACGGGAGAATGACAGCTCCCTCCTGACTGCACCTCAGTCGGTGGATCCCGTGCAGCGCAGCAGAACATCACACACACGGAGAGCATCTATCACACACACACGGAGAGCATCTATCACACACACACGGAGAGCATCTATCACACACACACGGAGAGCATCTATCACACACACACGGAGAGCATCTATCACACACACACGGAGAGCATCTATCACACACACACGGAGAGCATCTATCACACACACACACGGAGAGCATCTATCACACACACACGGAGAGCATCTATCACACACACACGGAGAGCATCTATCACACACACACGGAGAGCATCTATCACACCCACTTCAGAGCCTACTAACGCGGGGCTCTTGTAATTTACTGCTGCACAAACTCCTCATGCAAAGACTGTGAAAATACCTCTGCTACAAATATCCGGGATAATATCCTCGTCGGCCGCAGGAACAGTAGGTCCCCTTCAGGAGATCCTCGTCCCATAAGCCACACGGTGACTGACTGTTTGCTCTTTCTGCTGCTCGGCTGGTTTACGCAGGGGAGAGCAGCACAACCAGTAGAGGCTGGCTCTGCTCTGAGCTCAGCGCTAGCCACTTAAGCCGAATGAATTCTGGGTAACAGGCTCTTAAAGAGACAGCAGCCATTTAATCACTTCTCAACACCAGACACGTTTTCAGTGGGAAGGCTCCTGACCCTTTTAGGCTGATGCTAATGCAGTGTCTAAGCAACAGAGTTACGTAAGATGAAGCCGCTGTCATCAATCATTGTCTTCAGATATATGTCAGATTGTAAACAGCATTCAAAATGACATAAATAATGAAAATATTAACTGTGTTAAATTTTAAAGTGTTTTTTTTTTGGCTTTTAAATCATGCTTCATTTGTGTTACCCTTGCAAATGATAAATAGTCAGATGTTTACCTTTTGCAGGCACAGCGAAGGCCTTTTGGACCTGGGTGAGATAGAGGACCATGGACAACTTGTCTATCTGACCACTGTTGGCCAAGTCGCTGGCAGCCATGACAGGAGGGATGCCCAGCTCCTTCTCCAAAATGCTGAAGGCCAGTTGGTTGTTGTGAACTGCGCTGGACTCATCCAGGGCGGACATGTCACTGTGGAGGAATAAGAAAAACTGGGATTAAATGTTGGAGCTGAAGAAGAAATGATGAGCTTGCATCAAAGACAAGCGGTGTATGGAAATAGGCTCATTTTAAAGAATATTTATCCGACATATTTAGGTCAGTGAGTAGCTGCATGGTAGCTTGATTGAGAAGTGTATTTGTATTTTCAGGGTTTTATGTGCACATAATTGTACGGCAGAAGAATAGACAGTAAGGGACATGTACATTGTATGATCAAAGGTATTTACTTTTTTATGTAAAATCAGTGTTATGTCCAGGACTTTTAAACATGTTGTTGTGAGATGGCTGGCATTTTTTATGCTTCACTAAATGCTTTTAACGGCTAAGGAACTTTAAGTGCATTTGTGACCTGCTGCTCCATCGAAGTCAGTCGCATTGACCCGAAGACACATTTTGAGTTGTACACACTGTTGGAAAGAGGAGATTCCTAGCTTTCTAATGATATCAGTTTTTGTACTCAAAATATTAAGCAAAATATGTCATAATATATAATGACTGTCACCGAGTCATCATTTTGAGAAAAAGGCCTTCAAAGTTTCCCCTTCTCTGGAATCCATCGATCTGATTGGTTATTAGCAAATGATCAAAATACTACGGAGGGAAGATATTTTGGTTTGGATTACTGGTCTGGGAGAAGCTCGCGAGTGTGTGTGTGTGTGTGTATACGTGTTTGTATGTGTGTTTGTGTATTTTTGCGTTTGTGTGTATTGTTCGTTTCTCGGGGAAAACACTCACGAGAAACACCGGCTGTTGTTATGCCTGCTGTGACGTTAAGTTACTCCGTTCTCCGCTTGTTATTATGCCGTTACAAGCTTCAAAGTTGTATTTATCATCTGAATTTGCCGAAACAAGTTTAATATTCTGAAAGCCAAGACTTTGTTTAATTGAAATCAGATGAAAACAAACTGTAACAGACCCTGCCCGGTTATCTATNGATAGAATTACTAACAAAGCACTTATATACTAATAAAGGACTGGCTTGGATAAAAGCGTCAGCTAAATGCAATGTAATGTAATGTAATGTTATATCCAAATGAGTTTAACTGTCATCAAACACGATGGGTGTTTCTCAATGTCGAGTAAAGCTGCTCCTGAGCCACTATTTCAAGCATACTACGTC